TTAGACCACTCGGCCATCCGTGCTCGTTCTTGTGGCGTCCAATGAAGTTTTTGATGTTGTGAAAGGAACGAAGCGAGGCAACAGAAAACAGAAAAACGCTGAAATGCTACATTTTTACGTTAGCAATTAGCGGAATGTGAGTATGTGCCTCTGGATTACTTATGTGGAATGGAGAGCAGTGTGAAAGAATGATGTGATTCACTGGGTTTTCATTTCTTGGTGGTGGCCTGTAGCATTTCAGCGTTTCTCTGTTTTCTGTTGCCTCGCTTCGTTCCTTTCACCTTGAAATATGTTTGATTGCCATTCTGAGCTATTCCTGATGATTCTGATCGAATAATCCTGACATTGTACTTTCGTTTATTGCATGCCCTTCAAGTTTCACCCATCTCTGGTATCTGCCTTACTTCAAGAAACGATCAAGAATTAGTCATTTGCAGCAAAATTTTCATGTTTCCGAGATAATCGTTGAGACTCAATGCTATTTTAACGTATTTTACTTTTCTCAATTTTAGTCCACAATTTAATGGGGAAATATGATAACTGTCCAATGCGGAACAGCTTACCTGATTTCATTTGAAACTCAGTTAGAAATAGCATGATAGGAAGATCGCTAAATAAATACTTTCAATAGGTTGCATGAGTTCTTGTCTGCATCTAATAACCGGTTGGAATCCATTGGCTTTTATCTATTTTCTCGATCTTCGCTGTCTTTTCCCTCTTCTCCTGTTCGATTATCAGCAGAATGGGATATTCTGAGTGAACGGGAATGAGTAATATCATTGGGAAGGTATCGTTCTTGTGGTAATCATCATCCGGCATCACAGTAAATGCCATTATATCAATTATCCACTATGATACCAACTGTGTTCTTGCTTACTCAAATCAAATAGCCTAATAAGAATTCATTAATGAAAACGCTTTCTTCTTTCATTTGAGATAATTCTTTGGCGTTTTGTTCTCGAACAATGACTAGATGAGTGCTGCAAAACGAGGTAATGCATCAATAGAGACAGTCAGTTCCTATGTAGTCTATTCAGCTCTTTTTTCTCTCTTCATTACAACCATCCTTTCCTCATTACAGCTGTTCTTCCACTTACCTCTCTCTCCTTTTCATTTTTCCTACTCTTATGAAAAGCTTTTATATGCCATACAAAGAAAAATGAGACGTATGGTCAAACTCAGTTCACCCACTTGACAATCCTCAAAAAATAACTGAAACCTTATGCGCCTACTCCTTCTTCGGACCACCCCTTTTCTCTCGTCAAGAGTCAGATGATATCTTCTAAAAGAACACCATTCTAGGTATCATTACCCATCTTTCCATTTTTTCGTAAATTCTCAAAGTTCAAACCATAAACTGAAACAAAATTTGGTTATGTAACTTAGAACATATCGTCATCATCTCCTATTGTCCGTTCATTGGTTTAATCAGTTTCAGTCCGTACGAAGGTTTTGTATATAAACTGTTTAGCCTAAGCGGATACTTTATCGTCACCTTCACCTATTATATCCATAAACTTGCTAGTATTATCATTATATCTTCTGTTTCTCCTTTCTTTCTTGTAGATGAAACGATAGTTGGTTTCCCTTATTCTTCTACTAAGAACTATTCCTGAAAATAATCTTATCTTATTAAATCGCTGCATCAAATTACAAGTTAATTAGAAAAAAAAGAATAAAAACCTTTTGTTTGATCGTTACAGAAGCATTGAAGTTTCACCCAAGGTTACTGGCCACGCACACAACACACTTCCGAAATGTGTTAAAATTGTGTCAACTGGGCCAACAGTGACTGAGTGAAATAAAAAAATAAAAACATATTGTAGCGTTCATAATGAAGAACATTTGGTACATTCCCAATTACTTGAATGCGGACCGGTTTTCCGGAAAGAAAACACATTTTCAAGACAAAAGTCAGTCATTGATCATGCTTTGAGGTCTCCGTCCTCATTATCATTCGCAATAGTCAGTTTGTAACAGTTCTAGTGGTGTACTTAAAACCGGAGAAGCATGGCTTTAGCTTCTACTCCAACAGTTCAACTTCTATTCTATTATCTCTTGTTTGACGTTCAGCTTAATCATCACAACTGTTTGAACGTCCGAAATACTTCTAAACTAACTAATCAAATCAAATCGGACAGGTCATAAGATTTGGGGCTAAATTTACAACACAGCTGTAGCAGTTTGAATCATAAAACGTAACCTAACTGAGTAAGCTCTTCCTATTGGCTTTTCCTTTTGGTTTTTCTGCGTGACTTCAAAGTATAATCGTTGAACCATGAGAGTTTACTGCAGCTCCTCTTTGCTTGAGTCATAAATCAGTATCCATTGTGAAGAACTTCCGAACATTCGTTTACATAACACTACTGTTCATCAAACAATTTACGATCTCCTTGTTTCCACTCATTCTTGTCTTCCATAACTAATTAATATGAAATAAACATAATACTTTCAGGGTAGTGGAGACGAAGAAATGATATGGACTCACTCATTCATATCATATTATTTAACGTTTTGCTGTCTCTTCACTACAACGATAGCTTTGCTGTCCGTTCAGGTAAGCCTTGACCCCGTCTGCTTGACCGTTTTTCCATGGCTCGACCTAATCTTTGCCTTAACGTTAGTCATTGTTTGAATAAGTTTGATAATTCAATCATCTGAAATAAAAATAGATAAGCCTTACCCACATATTTGATAAACAAAAAAAATAATAGAATATCAATCATAATAGTTGAATATATTGTAGTTATCCACTAATTACTAATGTTTGTTTAGTAAAAAACAGAAAAAAAGATAGAAAAAAGCTATGTTCAGAGAAATGAAATACGCGAATACGACAAATTGGATGGATTATGGACATTCGTCCGCGAGACAAATAATGGGGGCGATATTGGTTTAGCAAATCATTGGAATACTCAGGATTTGCGTTCATTCAAGGTAATCTATATGAATTGAATATACAAGACATTCATCAAAAAAAAAGCCTCAAATGCTGATATAAATTTTAGTATTCGTTGATGCTAATACAACCGCTCCGTGTGATAACTAAAACCAAAAATGAGATATATAACCCATGAAGATGGATTATCGATTATTTCGAAACATCAAACTAGTATGACTTATGTTTCAGAATCATACAGTAATGCCAGTTCCAAGCTCTTACAATGATATAATACCTGATGCAGAACATCGTGATCATATCGGATGGGTATGGTATGAGCAACGAAGTTACATCCCTTTAAGAGATGTTAACTCATCTTTCCTCTTGAGATTCGCTAGTGTTAATTATTATTCTGTTGTTGTAAGTGGAATCATTTAAAATATTTTCAAATTCGTTCAGTTTGTGAATGGAGATGAGGTTGGTCGTCATGTTGGCGGTCATTTACCGTTTGAATTCGATGTTTCTAACAAAGTTAAAATAGGCCAAGAAAATAAGGTTGAATGGGAAACTCTGCTTAAACAATTTCGTCATCCTCAGATAACAGTAGCAGTTAACAATACATTATCATGGGACACTGTGCCACAGGCAGATTTCAATTACCAAAAAAGGGCTGAGCGTAACATAAGTGACCACTTGGTGAGTATTGCCCTTCTAAGTTTATAAGCATTTCGTGTGCATTATAGGTTTCAAGACTACCAGAAGGATCATTCAAGAATGTCGGTCTTTTCGATTTCTTCAATTATGCTGGTATTTTGCGATCTGTGTATCTTATGAAGCTGCCAAGAAGTAGAATTGACGACGTGACTATCACTGCTGAACATCTAGGTTGAAAAAACAGAGTTGAAGTGTTATAACAATCAAGTTCAGGTTCTTTTGCCTACCAAGTGATAACGAATCAAAACAATGCTGATGAAGATATTGTTGTTTACATCTATGATGATAACGGAACTGAAGTTCTAATTTATTCGGTTAAGGTTAACGTTCAACCTTTAAGGTTTATAATGGGCGAGGCTTGGAAGGCAAAGGACATGTCCCAAATGTGACACCTTGGTGGCCAAGAGGAATGGGTGAACCAAACTTGTACTCAATAAAAGTGAGTCTGAGAGATCATAGAGAACAATGAACCATATACGATAGGTTGAATTAGTCCGAAGTTCTACTGGAGATGTTCTCGACGTTTTTCGTGAGTCCTTCGGTTTTCGAACTGTTAGTTGGACTAACAAGCAGCTAATGATCAACTCTAAACCTTTTTATTGCCTAGGATTTGGAATGCATGAAGATTTTGAAGTTTGAAAGATATGAATTTACTACTCGAATTCTTCGATTAAGATTCATGGACGTGGATACAACGAAGCTGTCATGACAAAAGACCTTAATTTGGTTGAGTGGATGAACGGAAACTGTTATCGAACCTCCCATTACCCATATGCGGAGGAACGTATGTATGAGAACGATCGCCGTGGTATTGCTTGCATTGTAGAAACGCCTGCTGTTGGTTTGAAGTGAAAAGGCTCATAGAACAAACCGTTAGTTATACATTCCAGAGGTTTCCCTAAAAATAACAACGCTCTGCACATGAATATGGTAAAAGACATGATTAACAGAGATAGGAATCATCCCTCAGTGATCATGTGGAGCATTGCTAACGAGCCACACACGGAGAAGGATGTTTCCCGCAATTATTTCAAGTACTTTCATATCTCGTGAAGGCGAAGAATGATGATTTCTGCAGAAATTTGGTTAACTTGGCTCGTGAAATGGATCCTACTCGTCCTATTACCACCGTCTATGGTCCTAGCAATTTCGACAACGACCAAACGGTAAAGAAAATTCAGATATTGTATTGACAGAGCGTTATTTTGCAGGCTGATTTGATGGACATTATTTGCGTCAACCGATATTATGGCTGGTATATTGACATGGGACACTTAGATTGGGTAAACCAATCCGTGTATTGGGACATATCACTTTGGCATCAAACATTTAATAAGCCAATAATTGTTACTGAATATGGCGCAGACAGCATGCCTGGTTTGAATCAAGTTAGTTAATACTTACCAGATTTGATTTAATAATGTTCGAAAGGAGCCATCCGTTGATTTCTCGGAGCAGTATCAAAATGAACTAATTGAGCGAACTCATGAGGCCTTCGATGCACTCAGAGCGCAAGATATCCTTTCGGGAGAAATGATTTGGAATTTTGCTGATTTCATGACAGGCATGTGTAAGTTGAACGGTGGCAACTGGCGTAGACTCTAATTGTTTTTGAAGCTACAACTCGGGCTGTCGGAAATCACAAAGGTGTTTTTACGCGTGGTCGTCAACCCAAAATAGCAGCTTATACACTGAGACGAAGGTATGGAAAACTTTTCCGACAGAACTGAGTGAACGATATGGACGTTTTCCGTAGTTAGCTAAACAATCAGACTGATGAATGTCCAATAATATCCATTTAAAGCTTTTACTATTTTAGTACTAGAGAAAGCGAAAAAAAGACTAATAACGCTGAACCATATGAGCCTTCTATTTTCCTTCTATGTCTCTCACGTTCCCTCTATTTCTAAAATTTCACATCGAACAGTTTGATCGCTGATATGAGCCGAATGATACTATTGTAATTTATGATAATTTATATGACTCTTAGAGAAATCATTTCCTAGTATATAAAGCTATCCTGCGAACTCGAATGATTTTCGAAGAAAATGAATATTACTCTATACTTCAACAGATTTTTTTATTAACATCGTCAAGCATTTGCTAAGTGTTTCTTACATGTTGGCATTACGTTGAAGCTTCACAAAAAAAAAACATTTTTGAAATTGAAGTCAAAAGTTTTCGGAAAAGAGAAAACAAACTTTCAAAGGGTATTAACAGTTTCAAACTTGAAAAGCAAGTGGTTAGAAGAGAGCAAACAGGAACTGGTAGAGAGGTGAGAACAAGAAGCTATTTCAACCAAACCTTCAAAGCCAATAGTTTATAAAACTAAAGAAGAATAAGCTGACTCACCTAGGCTTCTGAATAGCGTCAATTGATCTCATCATGTTACCGAAATCATCGAAATCTGAAGGCGCGCGACGTTCTTTCATGGGCATCATACGCCTATAAGATATTAACCCAATAATGAAACCATGCCCTAAGCTTACTTGGCATATACGGAATCAAAATGTTTAATAGAATTAGAATCCATATTATATCGAGGAGCATCCAGAAGCCATGGATAGTCGAACGCTTGAATTACTTGAGGCATAGCCAAAACAAGAAGAAACACAAATCCGTAGCAACCCAATGATTTCATTCTGCAAATATGGTAATATGAATAAGAAGAATACTTAAGTAACTGGTACACTATAACTGAAAACCTCAAGTAGTAGGAGGTGTATGCAGAATAGCAACTTTTCAGCCTTTAAATAGCAGTAGAGACATGACGTGGATAACTTGCAAGCGGATACGGTAGTCTGATGTCTTCCTGGAAGCCTGCAGCTTCTTAAAGCTTCAATTACCTGACGTTCATCAGATATTCTTTGACATGATAATCGTTTGCTATGATATGTGTGACGGATAAAACCGTTTATAGTAGTACATAAATGAAATGTCACTTGAGTTCAGAAACGTTTTGTTATTTTCTTTCATTCATCATCATTATAAGGAACCTGAAGTAATAATGAAAATTTGCAAAAGTGTTTCCTTACGGACATGCGTGTGGTCAACCAATTCTACGTCATGATTCTGATGTAACAAGGAAATCTCATTGAAAGATTAGAGCTTGTTCCTCATAAGTCAACACAACTATTAGCAAAACCGAGTGACGTAACTAAAAACATTACGAAATATTAATCAAAGCTTAAAAAAAAATTAATGAACACTAAATCTTGAAATATACTTCTAATTAACATACGTGAAACCTCACGCTCATCACTATAGTAGCCATGCAACCATTTGTCTTGTTGCAGTTGCTATGAACGGTTGTTTATTATCTGGCAGGTCACGGAATTCCTATACTTTGTACTATACGAAAGTCAGCCTGTAGTTTCAACTGTCGTCTCGTTCTCAATTAGTTCACGGGGTTATTCTGTGAAGTACAAACATAAGCTTCGAAGTTTTGTTTTGTAAAATCTTTCGAAAGTAAAGTATTTTCTGTTATTTAGTCTTTATGACTATTGTGCATATAACGGTTGTCTGATCAATTGTGCTGAAAGGTAACATACAAACGTTTCCGAATTCAAAACTTTATCATAAGAATAATATGAGAAGATCACATCTTTTTGACATTTAAGAAATAATTATGAAATGGATAACTTATAGATAACCGTCATCATCCAAATATGAAAATATTACTAAGCGACTCATAATGAGAGAAGTGAGAAAACATTCAAGTGATGCAGATTGCTGTTTACATGTTCATTATCTTGTCTTTTGGAATTTGCTGTGGGGGAGCAACGTTGTGTGATTTTTCCCACTGAAATGTGAACGGAAGTTAAGAATGGATGAATCTTATGAATCCTACCTTTCTAGCCAATGATTGAAGAGTAACGGAAACGGAGAAAAGGTCTCGACCATCAAATAAATCAACCGATTGGAATGTCTAAAAATATAGTTTTCTTCCTTTTTCAATGTGTATTTGCGGTACTTCTTCATCGATAACTCCAAACTTGCGAGCAGCTGCAGAAAACTGGTTGATGTTCTCCAAGCAATTGAAGTTAGACATTGGTTTCATGATCTTCTTGATTGTACCAGGTTGCACGGCGTTTACCATCCTCAAAACGTTTCAATAACTCTTTGTTCTAACTTTTCTCGACAAGTCTTAAGGAGCCAAAAGAAGCGATTCAAATGCTATTTACGAAACAATGACGGACTTTTTAGGTCCACTTGACGTATCGGACAGCCTTTTCTCGAAAACTTTTCTGTTTGGCTGACAACTTCAATATTCGAAGGATTTACGGCTTAAACATCAAAACTTTCAGAATTTCTTCGAACTTTCAAAACGTTTTGATCATAGTTGGTTGATAGGTGAACTCACTTGCAAAGAAGTTGACCATCTTTCAACTGTTCACGGAAGTTATCACGGCTTCCGTTTGTGTCAATACTTTCATTAGTTAATCCCTGAAATGTTTAAAATTAATCATGCATTTTCTGTTTGAAGCTGAACCTTAATCCATTCAAGTAAGAAACGGGCTTCATTCTCATTAAATTTGCTTGCTTGTTTATCAAGAACGGCACCTAAAACAAAAAGTAACAAAAGGATAGCCTTGCCCCTAACTCACCAGCCAATCCGGAAGGTCTAGGACGATGATAGTGTTGCTCCATCGGAAGATTTTCTTAAACTATATAAATATCTGAAAAAAATCAAAGTTGCTGAGTTCAGTAAGTTGTGAGAAAAAATTTAGACGAAATTACAAAAAAAATGAACGTGACGATTTTTGAGCAGCGAGCTGCGAGCACAAATCAGCTTGTACTGTCAGCTTGGATGACAGAACTCATCCGCCACTGCTTTCATCTGTTATATATTCGATTCGTTTGACAACGTGTCCATGGCCAACCCTCCGACTTACGGGGGCGTCTGAGGGCGATATGCTTTCTCGATTTTGCCCACTATCTCATTCAGCTTTAGCTGAAACGGTAAAACTGTACATTGGGGCTCGGAGGCTCTCCTACACTTTTTCTTTTTTTGAATCACTCACATCGATCTTTCGTCGTCTTTTTCTTATCCCTTCTCTGAGAGCTAAAAGTGACCCTCAGCATCCTTCTCACTGTTTCTCTGATTTTAACAGAACTTCAAAGGTTACAATTTGTTTTGCTTTTCTCCTTTTGATGCATCTTTTTTCGGTGAAAAACAAACCGGGGATATCGTATTAGCGTTATGGATTCAAAATGAATGTCGCGCTTGGGCTGAATGGTGAGCTCCAGCAACGAAAAATACGTTACAGTCTGACGCAGCAACAAGGCTGATTGATGTTTTTGATCTTCACTGCTTCAAAGAAAATATTGTTAAAGTTACACAACAGTTACAACCACTGCTTGATAAATCTGCAAAAGCTCCCAATTTCGCAACTAACCGGAGGGAAAATGAAGTCCTCTTGTCTTCGACGTATGGTTGACTCACTTTGTTTGGTTTTTCTTTCGCGTTCATCTCGAAACGACTGTTCTTCACACAAAATCAACAGCTCCACATGTGGAACACGTGCATCATTCCAAGCTTCAGAATATACCACAACAGAGCGACAATGCTTTAGAAAGATTGCGTCATCTTCGAACTTTTCGTATCCTCTTCATGAGCCCTCACGTGTATATCATGAGTTATCATGCTACTGCTGCCTCTGTCTTCAAACATTGAAACAACACTCAAGATTTGTCATCTATCTCTAAATTTGTTTGTTTGATGATAGTACATCTAGATGTGCATACAAATTAGCATACGCATCAATTTAGCAAGGATGACTCACGCGTAAGTGATACCAAGCATCATTGAGCTTAATGCTGAATTCGATAATCTGCTGTTAACCGTTTATCAGACAACTTTTCTTGATTTTGACATAACACAAATTTTGGGTTGCAGTCAAACTAAAAAACGAATTTACATGAAATATTCCAAATCACGTTCCCTCACCTGGTTATGAGTTTGAACTACAGTCATGCCCTAAAAAACTCTTATTACGCTGGCTCCTTTTTCTTCGAAGATCTCTAGACACAAATAACCCAATGACGTGTTCAAACTGATAAATAGATGAAGTTTAAATCAAATAGAGAACAGCTCATTCATATTTACAGAGATTTCGCAAAGATCGCCGATCGTGGTGCAGTAGAAGCAAAATATTCCTGCATTCAAATATTCTCTCAAACTATCATGACAGAAGTGAAGCTCTCTCCGCTGTAACAATATAAGGAGTATCCTGCTTAGATTATGTTTATTCACCGTTTAACTGGTGATTCCAAAAGAAATAAACAATAACAGACAACATAACAAAAGAAACAACAAAGAAGGCAATAACAACACCGATGAAAATCGAGCAAAAGATACTTGAAACAGAAATGGAAGGTTGGCTATCTCCAAGTCTCTTCGGAGGAAGAGGTTTATTCGTAGAATCTTTCTAGTTATAATTAGCTATTTTATTAGGCGCTAGAAGGGGGTGTTAAACAGCTTGATATGAACATTGGTGCTATGTGGGACAACGGAGGCAATGTATGACAGGGGCCACCCATCAACTCTAGAGCATTAGGAACTTTGCGAGGTCTGATAACTTCGACCTTCTCTTTTTCCCGAACTGATGCTAAAAGAGCTCCGAATGGAGTTATGTCTTGCGGGTCGCTTGGACAATCAGCAGCTAGTGGAGGACACATGATATGGAATCCCTGAACAGAAAACATAAAATTTCATGCTTTAATGTGAAACACCTTATCCGCCTTAGCAGCCAAATAGACATTGTCAGAAGAATCTCCTACGGGTATTACTTCTAAGCTCTGAACAGGTTTGGAAAACCGCATTGAGTCCAGTAACTTTCCATTGAAAGGATCGAATTGCAGAACTAAGATAGCGTTTTTATGAGAAATAGGACTGTTTCCCACCTTGCATATCGTCCCAAGCAAAGCATCCATTAGAGCCACAATGAATCAACAATGATTGTTGTACAGTCCAAATCATCAAGCCCACATTAATATTCCAGCAGGTTACAGATTGGTTAGTAGCGAAAATGCAATATGAACTGTTTGCCCACTGAATTGATGAAACAATTCCATCAGTGGGAATCACATCCAATACTGTCATCTGGAAGGCTGATATGAGCAAGAAATTAGTAGGGAACATACGTTACTAGCATCCCAAATGACAATATTATCTCCACCTTCAGAAACATGAGCGGTAGCCCAAATGGGTCCACTTTGTATGTCAGATACACAACGTACATTTGAAGTCTAATAAAGAAGTATTCATTATGATTTTTTGTTGTATTAACAAACCTGCCAGCGTCTGTTCCTAGATGTATCTTGTCTCCAACGTTCTCCTTCCTGCCATTGTTTGTAAATAACTATTTCTCCATTCTCTGAGCATGTTCCAAATATCTGAAGCAAAAATGTTTGCCTAAAAGAAGGTTCCAACCTTATCGTCATCAGAAATTGGTCTCGCACATCCAGCTAAGTACTTGGTGTGATTAGGAACGAAAATAGTCTCTTGAAGCTCTAATACTGAGTAGTCCATTTTGCTACGTCTCCAAAACCGTATACGCTTCTGAACGTATTCATAAAGAGCGAAATAACAAAAAAAATACTCACATTAGTCTCAATATGATTTACTATACTTGTAAGTGTGGCGGCTGAACCCTCTGTTAGTACAACTTTCTCGATTTCATGGTATACATGGACAACTCCAGGCATATCGCCATCAACCGCATTTTCTAACGTAACTCTCGCCTGAATGTGCAAACTGATGATTGAGATTTAGTATCGGACATGCCTCTTTTTCAGTTTCCCCTGAAAAAGGATCAAGCCATTGTATTGATCCTGGCTTGCTATTCAAGACCAATTTATTGGATAAAGGATCTCTGGGGAAGAAAGATTAACTGTTTCAAGTCTGTGGCAAAAACGTACGAAGTGAAGACGTTGTTCGCAGATCGTTTACACCAGCTAACAGTTGGTATTGTTTTCAAGAAAGACATGGAGCTCACAGAAATGATTTGCAAACTATTATCTTCTGTAATAACATATTTTACATTAACCTGCTGAAATTCACTTGTAACTAACCTAGAACTAATGCGACTAAAGAACCATCTGGAGACATGCTCAACTCATCAACTGGTCCGGCTAATCGAGGAAGCATGGTTGGAGAAGCTGCGCCTTCTAAAGTCCATTTACAGAGAACAGTTTCAGCACCTGCTGACAGCAGGCCGGAAAAGGGAGTGAGAGCAAGCACAGGTGCACTCTATAAAATTAATTATGAAATGAAAAAAAAAGGTATTCACCTTGTGCCAATGCCTTTGATGAAAGATGTTTTTACCCTTTTCTATTCCTTTTTGGTCTACGTCGTGCCTGAACAACCCCTTATATTTTCTCAGAGTTTCATAGCCTTACCATATGAGCATCATACCGACATGCAAGACAGCTACAACAATATCTTTAGAAGCCACAATCCTTTCAATTATGTTTTCTTCGTTATCTTTCGCGGTACCACCTGAGAAGCCAAGTGGGAATAATATTTCAGTACCAGTTTTTACTCACTGTTCAACTGTCCCGTGTAGGCAACGCTGTGAGGTTCTAAATTGCTTTCTGGTTCAGTTGGTACTAGATAGACTTTTTTTTGTGTACAGTAAACAGCAAAGCCATCCTACAAACAAATCTGAAGAACAAGAGGAAAACTTGAGTTACCCCAAGAGCTAACTGTCCCCGCGTTAAATCTCCTTCGGGGTCACATAACTTTTCCAAAGATTGATCTCCAATAAGGAAGAAAAGTGAGTCTTTGTCACCTTCACGGATAAGCCATACAGATTCTCGCCCTTCGGCTGCGAAGACTACATCCCTGAAATAAGATAAATTGAAATAACTAAAAAAAAATGAAGGATTACTTCACAGTGAAAGCTGTGACTCGCCGAGTACTCTTAACAGTAAGATAATCAGAGTTGACGCTCCAAACGATGAGTTCACCACTTTTGGAAACAGATATCAACTGCAAAGCATAGCATATAGTTCAGAGAAAACTAGCAAGGATCACCTCATCAGAACTGGAAAAGATCAAAGAAATGATCTCATCAGAGCTTTCGGCTATAACTTTCAACTTGGGATTTTTGACGTTATGAACGTTGATGGCACATCCAGAGGTTGTAGCTATTAGACTGAAATAAACATATTATTTAATGACGTATTTAATATGAAAATAACCTGTTGTTCTGATTGAAAACCACATTATTGATGGGGAAGCCAGTTAATGTTTTCTCAGACCACTCAACCATTTCTAATTTCCTGAACGAAACATAAAAATGTACAGAACACAATTAGATATTCAAGTGGAGTAAATGACACAGTTGCTTGAAGAAATACAGGAGTGAAAGAAACTGAGGCGGTTCAGGCCCGATATTTATATCACATCTTTTCATCACAATATAATACAACGGAAGATTATGCTTAACACTCTCGCGTGTACTCATTGAGTACTTTTTGAACATTTTCGTGTACTCATTCAAAATTAACTTAATGCGCATTGCGTACTATTCTAACAAAACAATTTTCAGTATTTTATCGAACTTTTTGCAATTTGCTGGTTCATTAGAATAGTTTTTGATATGTATGAATGCGAAAAAAATTCTAATCATAGGTAACAGCGAAGAAAAGTGAAAGTAATTATGGCTTAGTGAGGCGTTTGAAAAGCTCAAAATAATTATGGCTAATGTTTATAATACGATTAGGGAGAGGTTATTGCTCATCGAATGTTTTAGCGTTAAGAGTTTCCTTCTGCTAGAGGAGATTGTTCAACTTTAACTCATCATAAGTTAATTGGTTCAGTTTGTATATGGATTGGCCACGCTCTATTACACAAATCGCAATCTCCCGAACTTCATCGTCAGAAGAAACTCCCTGGATTCCGTCGATCAGTTGCCGCCTATTAGGTAAAGTGTATGAAGCGAGATCCACGGCCTTCCTGACCATCCAAGCATGAAACCTGCAGCTCAAAGACGTATACTCGGTAGACAGACTACTCGAACCTAGATAGCGTTTTTTCGTAAGATTGGCGACATAGTTGAGGGACGTTGTCTTCATCTTTAGCAACTATCAAACATTGCAAAAAATCCACTATGAATTCCAGCGCTCTTAAAGGGAAAAGTAAAGTGACTCTCAATCAGCAAAGCTCTTCACCTGTGCAACCCGAGAAAAGCAGTTGAACCAGGTTTTTTTTTCAATTTATGCTCGTAGTACAACATTGCGTTCACGGTCTCATAGTTCTCCGTGTTGCTGTCGATGAGTTTAGTCAAGGTTCCAATTTTTGCGTTGACATCAAGTTTAACGAATTGGAATATTTTTCCCATTATGCCAATAAATCTAGAATATAGTTAATTGATGTAACATGTAGCCACTAACTTATTCAATTCTTCGTAAGCTTTAATGAATTCAACGAGCTTTACATCTCTCTCCTCAACTAATGCTTTGTCCAAATTATTAAAAACTACGTGTAGCGAGAAGGAAGAGGCTTCAATGACTTCCGAAGATTGCTCATTCGGTGGCATTATACCTGAAATTAGTCAAATAGAAACGATCTCTATATATTACGATAGAACGACAAGTAGTGTAAATGTCGAAAAATCACGAGGACTACAATCTACAAAAATAAACAGAAGAATTTGTAATGATTAATACTGCAACGACATTATGTTTTAAAGATTAGTCAATAGCATTATTCACTATTTTTACATGAAACAGCTTCTTTGAAAAATAATTAAAACAATAAAAATTAATAGAAATGACCGTGGAAAATTTCCAATGTAACCCTGCAGTGATCGTGACAAGATCCACCTTTATTTCTATGCGCCCTTTGCGCTGACGTTGTTTGTTGTTTCCTATCAGAACTTGTTGATGGTTGAAGAGCGACAGTTTCTTACTTTCAATTCGAAAGTAACTGAGTTGCATAACAGATCGCAAAGATTTTTGGTCATTTGGTGGGCTGTTTACTGAACATTTTTGTTTAAACCATCACTATTCTGTTCTATTCTATTGTTGATCAGTCATCTCTGCGTGATTATAGAAATGTGTAACTTTATATTTCCTCAATCGGTTATTAGAGTCTCCAGATTAATATCGTGTTAATCTATTTATCTGTTTGAATATTCCAGATGCTCTCTTCTCTTCGTACTGTTCCTCGTCAGGTTTCAACGTAAGTGTATTTTCATTGAAACTCAAATCTATAGAGTTTTCAAGCTTGGTTCGAAGAAAGCATACTTTACCGGACTTGGCTTATGATTACAACGCTCTCGAGCCTGTAATCTGTTCCGAAATTATGCAACTTCATCATTCTAAGCACCATGCTACCTACGTGAACAACCTGAACATGATTGAAGAAAAGCTTCACGAAGCTGTAAGCAAAGGTAACAGACGGAAAACGTGCCATATTCATGGGATAATTTAGGAAACGTTAAGGAAGCTATTGCACTTCAGCCGGCACTCAAATTCAACGGAGGAGGACACATCAATCACTCCATTTTCTGGACCAACTTAGCTAAGGATGGAGGCGAGCCTAGCTCTGAACTTCTGAGTGCCATCAAAGTTGGTAATGTTCTGAATGCTTGTAACTCTCAATTCAGAGAGATTTTGGATCTCTGGAGAAGATGCAAGACACTCTATCAACTTCAACCATAGCCGTTCAAGGATCAGGATGGGGATGGCTTGGATACTGTCCAAAAGGAAAGGCGTTAAAGGTTACTCATTCATTTCATATTATCCATTATCCCACCACAACCGTTCAGATCGCTACCTGTGCCAACCAAGATCCTCTTGAAGCCACAACTGGTCTCGTTCCCTTGTTCGGAATTGATGTATGGGAGCATGCTTATTATCTCCAATACAAGAACGTCCGTCCCGACTACGTTAAAGCTATTTGGAAGATCGCCAATTGGAAGAATGTTAACGAGAGATTCGCAAATGCTCAAAAACAATAAATTTACAAACCTTAGAACTGCTTTTTGTAGGTGTAGAGTACGATTATCTTATTGTGCGGAAGATGAATAAACAATTCCATAGCTCCTGAATGTTCTGTATACAGTTTCTACAATATTCAATAAGTTTTTACTCTCTTGATTAACGAACAAAACTTTTACATGATATTCTGCTGAGAGTGGAACTAAACCCACGATCTCGATCTCATTCTTCGGTCAAAAGAATAACACTCCACATTTATGTTGGATTCTTTCTTAATCTTACTTTCTTCTCCCTTAGTTTCGTATAGATTAGAGTTAATCATATTTATTACGTGATGTCGCCAGGATTAAAAGACGAACTGCACTGCGTTTAGCAAGGAGTGCCAACGCATTGCATTCGGCATTTGAATTGATTAAGGCCTGTGCGCGGGCCAAGGTTTGTACTTTTCGTCTTAAAAATATTCTTATCCATAAGTTGAAACTGCCTGTTAATCCACAGCGTATAGAAATGTGTCAACTTCGTATTTATGCGTTTTCTAATTGTTAGCTGTTGTCAGCTGTTTCCTATCTGTTACTTCGTCTAAACTTTCAGTTTCAGCCATTTCTATTGCAAACAACATGATCAACGTCGACGAGTTAAGTGATGCAAATCTCCGTAAGGTAAGTCTCAGTTTATAGTCTTTTCAAAATTCAGAAAATGATAATACAGGAACTCATCAACAGAGGAGTAAATGCTGGGCCGATTGTTGAGAGCACACGGTCCGTTTACGTGAAGAAGTTAGCTTCTCTTCTTGCTAAAGAAGAAACTCAAGTCAACAATGGTATTTCTTTGATTTTATCTTGAACATTTTTTCAACTTCTTATTGCTGTCACATGCATTTATTTCCCATTTCAGATGATATTAATGGAGTCTTGAAAGTTATCGATAATGTTGAGGCTGTTGCTCAGGTTGATTAATCGAATGTATCATTTTTAACGATGAATCTTAAGGCGCCTGAGAAGCTGTACCCATCGCTGGATATTGTAGAAGAACCTGTGCGTCAACGTAAAAATGTTCGAGCGTCGGTCGAGCCTAGCGATCAAGTAAGCAAAGAAATTTAGATGCTTTCAGCACAGAACGGTTGAACATAATAGAGAGTAAACCTGAATTTAGGATACCCGAGCTGAAGAAGAGGGAGGAAGTGACGAGGAAGGACATGAGTTTTCTCGTATCATTTCTGACGACGATTTACTAAACGATGTTTCTCAACGTAATCACAATCTCCGGAAGAAGGCCAACATCGGGAAGGTGAGCTAACTGGTACATGAAGGAGGTCTCGAATTAATCATAGGATTTTCAGTTGTTGCTCCTCCTGGCTCTGATCTGTGGTGGTGTTTTCTTGTTCTATTTCGCTGATAACTTGAGCAAGCTCACAGCGCTCGACAGTGACGAAGGGATTTGAATATTGTCGTCAGTTCCTAACCAGCATAAGAGAAGTATCTTAAATCCAAAGAACTAGCAACAACTTCGTCCTAAAATTGTTAATCTAACTCGTATTCAATCCAATCCTGAACTCTAAAAGTTCTGGTTTAATTTATTCTGTTTTCATTTGCCTTCTGGCCCATTTACTAAATAACTGTTGAATTTACAATCGCATATTTAACGAATAAATTTTTTAGCCCTTACTTCAATATCAATATCAATAATAATAATATCAATAATAATAATATTAATAATAATATCAATAATAATAATATTAATAATAATCATAACTACATACACATCTCAACACAATAGCAGATCGCGAATGGCGCGATTTTATTTGTTTCAAAACGTAATTCCTTTCAAAACAATTAGAACTTAACCATATATCCACAAAACATGTTATACGGCAAATACAATAATATCAATAAATATTTTAAAAAATTAAGAACTATCGCAAAATATTTGATACAAACTTGAAAAAAATGGTGCAGAGTCTGGTACTAGACCGTGAAGTGTTCTTGCCTACGACAGAGGTAGACTCAATAGTTAGTGAGACGAATAGAGATAAATTGATCAGTTACACGAGAATACAAGTTATAACGACGAACGAACGAGAATGAGCGGACCGATCTGCTGCTGCTGCTGGTCTGCCTTCCTAGGGCAGCATGACATGCCGGCCATCCACACACACACACAAAATTTATAACGAAGGGGACAAGAATATGTAGAGCGAGAAGGAATATAGAAAGCAGAAACTTGCATTCACACTGCGACTAGGGGAAAAGGCGAAGACAGTATAAGGTATCAAGGAAATTTTTTTTTTGGCTCCACTGCTTGAGCCGAGAGCCATTTCCGAGCTAGAACAATTCCTACGGCCTGAAACGGCCACCGAAAGACATCACCCGGACAGTCCTACACCAGATTGTACTCCTTGAGATTATGCTGCAGGATCGTGTCCTTTACTGCGGCGAAGACAAAACGGATATTTTCCGTATCTAAATATTAATTTTCAAGAGCTTATACATGAAGCTGCACTCACCAGTAGCACAGGTAAAATGGGAGTAAATAATCTTATCAGCGTCCGGATTTAGATCAACGAACATTTTTAATATGAATTCGCGAGCAGCAATAGGGTCTCGTGGGGGACCTGCAAAAAGTGAGCTAAGAAACCTGGAAGAAATAAGCTTGCCTACCATCATACTCAGGAAAATAATCAGCTAAGTGCGAATACAGAATCTTCTCCTCAAGTAAATCTTTCTTATTAAGAAATAGGATTACAGAAGAATTAGTGAACCATGGGTACGTAATAATTGTTCGGAAGAGGGCCTTGGATTCTTCCATACGATTCTATAATCAGAAATTAGAAAAAAATTTAGATATCCTCAAATTCACCTCATTATCGCATTCGACGAGGACTTGGTCATATTCAGACAAAGCTACAAGAAACATAATGGAAGTGACATTTTCAAAGCAGTGAATCCACTTCCTTCGTTCAGATCGCTGACCTCCTACGTCAACCATTCTAAAATTAAAAAAGGTATTAACTAACAATAAAAAAACTGTACCTAAAAATAATTTGTTCCAAATCAAAAGGGTATTCAATGATACCAGTGGTGGGAACACGAACTCTAAGGATATCTTGTTCAGTGGGCAGATAATCAGGGACAGCTAATCGTCTCAAATCAGAAAGATAACTGAAAGAAGGTAAATGAGTTTCTTCGTGAACAAGTGTGCGCGCACTATTTGGCAGAATCAGTGAGCTGGTATTCTCTTCGTCTGTCATAGCATTCTTGGATGCCAGAATCCTCCCACAATTCTTTAATGTATGATACATAAGGTTCTTCAAAAGAAGTAACACTCTCAAAATCTACTGCCCTAACCACAGCAGCCTGAAAAGTAAAATTAGATAAAACTCTGCGAGGATTATTTTAACCTTTTCGGCAAGTTCTTCGGACTTATCTCCGAATTCGATACCCAAGGTATCCATAGCACGGATCATGGACTGAAACAAAGAACAATAAGACAGATGTCTGCTCCGTAAAACAGAGTAAGCTTAGCAGCTCGTCTTTGGTTATAACGTCTGCACTTCAGAGTATTACTCACTTGAATTGCCATGAAAACATTTTGATAAACTAATCGAATGTGCGCCCGTTTATCTTCGTCAGAGTATCCTTGCCCGTGAATAATTCGCATCTGCTTGATAAACGTTGATTTACCAGATTCTCCGGTACCTAAATTAGTTAATTAAGAAAATGTAAAATCATGTTGATGTCTCCAATTATCTCGTTTGGCATGCTGGTGTGTCAACAGGCTGCCTAATGTCAAAACTACTAAAGTAGCGAAGTTACAGTTATACTACAAGCCCTATTTTCCTAGTGAAGATAGCTAAGATAGTAGTTAGAACCCCTTTCAGTCATTTTTAGAAATTTAGATGGAAGCGTTCAGCTATTGAAAATATTTAAGATGCAGCTTATTGTCTCTTAAAACCGCCTTGCATTCCGTGCAGTGTTATTGAATTAGAGACTCTCGTTTGGCAAGTTTGTCCTCTTGAAACACATATAAAAACTATAATGTAACTCTTCTAGGAAAGTTTTTTTGCCCTCTCAACTGACCCCTCAAAATTTCTTTCACATTACGAAGTAACGAGGAATGCGGAGAACCCGAAACAAATGAAAAATCGATAAGCAACGCGCCGCTCGCGAGTACACTCATATAGGCTGAGCCAGCCACATTAGTAACCTATTCAAAGAGCATCAATTGCAAAAACTGACATCCGACCAAACCATCGCCCCATATTTAGAGCGGACAACATTACATAGCCGGGAATCTACAACAATATACGTTCTGCGAGAAAAAACTAAAGCGGAAGATAGAATCTGACAATTTCGAAGATCTAAGTAGTTTCGTCCTTCTGATAGGGAAAAATAAAAGAATTCCTGTTTGCAATTTGGGAGAAAAATTAGAAAAGCATATCGCGTTGTTTACAATGAGGAAATAAATTGATGTTTCGCAGAACGAATTGTAAGAGAGAAACCATTATTGCATAATGCTGATTTATGGGTAGTATGTACAGTCTTTCCTTTCAAAGCCCATATTCTGCTCTCGAGAACAGCAGGGATTGAATAGAACCACATTCACTCTCAGCACACAATCGCCTCTTTTCGGCTGGTCGGATCTTGCACATTGAGATGGAAAGAAACCTTTAAATCGTGCATGATCGCGAAACAGGCCAACAAATCGTGAAACAGGTTCAGTTAACTAATAAATCTATAACGGGCACTTCCAGTCTGACAAATTTGAAGCGATAAAGCTGCGCTCTTTTTCTCGCTTTACCGTCTTCTCTTGATTGCAATATGCATCATCGAAAGGACGCGTTTCTATTTTACAGGTTCCACTAGCTTGCTTGGCTGCTTGATAGGTCGCTCAACCACTCTTTGAATCTCTCTCAATATCTTTGTCTCTCAGTTTTTCAGTTCTATTCCCTCTCTTAGCCTTAATCTCTCTCTCGGTCAAGATACCATTCAGCGTCATTCGGCCCCGACCCTAACAACACCCTTAATATCCGCAGATTTTTGTATCCGCGGCTTGTTCCTTATGCTGTTGGCCTTTTTGCCATCTTCATGCAGAAAAAGCACACAGGGTGACCTCTTATGGTGGTGCGGCTACTGCTGGTCCCCAGGATGCGCAGCTAATTGGGCAGGACGCGAACGTGTTTCAGCAAGGCTAGCCCCCCCTCTCTCGCTGGATGATTAGGTTGCGGCAAGAAGCTGGTGATGTGCCTTTGTCGCCTGGCTCTTACTTGCGCTCTGCGAGTCTGTCGAGCGTCCGCTGTAAGAGCGTGCGATCGATCGCCGCGAGGGCAACCCACTCTCCCCATACTACCAACCCCATGCAAATGCTGCTGCCCGCAACACAACAACAATAACCTTGGGCATGCGACAACGCCAAAAAGGGGAGCAAAAAAACAGGAAAATATGAGGTGTACAGTAAATGGGAATATGTAACGGGGTATATACGCTGATAGGAGAGATACTTTAAGACGTGTTGAACTAGAAACAAAAGCATTGTGATCTGATCAAAACAGTATCGTCGCAATAATCGGTGGAGAAAGTTTAAAAAGATATGGAGTTTCTTAAGAATAGCTAGACTAAGCGATCACGGAGGTATACACCGCTGTGCAATAAGTATACTAACTTGGGGATCCTAAAACAGTTCTTAACTGTAGGACGCTATTAAGGCTCCAAAAGAGAAAAACGAAGTATGGTTACACACTTATCTTAACTTCAACCATCAAAAAAAACTCTCAGTTCCAGCAGGAGTTGAAAAAAAACATTAATTGGCCCACAGGACGCTGCTATTCAAAACGCTTCATACAGGCCTTTAGAACGTACGAAAAAGAGATTTCAAGCGCCAAAACAAGAAAATCGACGACAAAAAATAAAACATAACATAACTCACCTAGCAATAGTAATTTTAATTCGCGACGAGCGTTGCGTTTGTCCCTCTGGAGCTGCTTCTCGATCTCTTGGTTGATGCGCTTCTGCTCACGCGCCTCCTCGGACAGACAGCACGCCATTGCGACGCGCAACCAAAGCCGAGTCTACCACGAATACAGATTTGACATCAGGTCACGGACATCACAATCACAACCGCTCTACCAACAAAGGTGATCGCTCTTGCCAGACAAACGCGTCGCGACCGCCCGCCAAGCGCACGCTGTTCACCACCGTAATCCCGATCGGGGCGGGACCAATAAGAATGCCGCAGTTTAGCTATACTCTGCCATCTGTTAGCCTAGGCCTCCGATTACCCATGTCATCTCGCCAAATGTACCTACAGCTAAGATAAATCTGCATTGCTTAGCTTTATAACCGAATAATCCTACAGTTTCTTTTGAACATAATAGGTTTAACTTGATGAACAGTAAAATGAGAACATTATAGTTTGTAACTTGTTTATTTATAAATCAACAAAACAACAATTTAGAAGCGGAGCTTGGTGAAGAACCACAAGTTCTTTCCAGACTTGTAGCGTTCCTCGAATTTAGCCTTGACTTCACGTACGGCTCTTCTCTTCTTGGTTGGGACCTTGAGAGCTTCCTAAAAAATCTTTTGAGTGAGAAGTCTTGATTTGTTTTTTACCTTGTTGATGTTAGCCTTATCGAAGGAGACATCGACAACATATCTGGTTGGGAGAACGTGGGTGTAAGAAACAACCTTGACGAAAGGTCTGAGCTTGCTTCTCTTCTCAACCTTCTTCTTTCCCATTTTGGTGGTGACCTATCGAAAAATTAATCAAGCTCTCTGTCGTTCGTTACCTTAAGGGGATATTTGTCAATACCAGCAATAATGGCATGTGGGTATGGTCTATCGGTAGATCCTTCATCGTGAGCCTTCACGACCAGAGCTTTGCGACCAGCATACTTGCCACGGAGGACAAGGACGACCTTTCCGGGTTTCATAATTTTGCCCATGTTGACCCTGGAGATAAAGATTAGTTAAACAATACACAAATATCATAAGAGTATCGAAGTGGTTGAAACCACAGAATAATACTAGGCAATATAACAGCATGTATTTAATAAGTCTGTACATATAATCTTCTGGCTTTTTCTTTTTTATTCCGATTGAAATGTTTCTTGCCATTGTCAGTTGGATCGAAAGCTGTTGGCACGACGGTCCCTGCTGGCGTATGTACATTAGAACTGAGCTTACTGCTTTTAACGTGAACATTGGCAGATTTATCAGTAAAAAACTGATTGTCTACTCTGTGGCCTTTAACTCGAGTTCCGTCAAGAATCCCTCTTTTCTCCAATTGTTCCAACTGTACTCTACCTATGTTTGAGGTATGATCATCAGAATCTCCATATATGATATCGCTGAACTCGATCTGATCCAAATGTGGTGGTGCTGCGACCCAGAGTAGTTTACCGTTCACTACATCTCTCATGATAATACGAGCAGCCCTTGAACAATCAGGGATTCCAGATGAAGACATAAAACCGCGCATGAACGCAAGACTTGTCAAGAGATCATGTGGTGATGGGTTCTCAGGTTCCGGCAACATGATAGAGTAAGTTTTCTCAAAAAATGACCCAGGGACACGGGACAATAGAAGAGCTGTTGGGGCAAAGTGATCTCTCATCTGATCCACAGGCAGGATACCTGAAATGACATGTGTAACAATAGGATTCCCTCCTTGATCCGCTCACCATTCAGAAACATCTCTTGTCTGCCAAAAGTAAAGGAAGGCATCACTAATCCGGGACAATCGCACAAAACGACCTGAAATAAGATTATAAAAAATTCTTGCTGTAGAAACTCTACCTGTTTGTCCAGATGAATTGTTTGGAAATGCCTAGTTTTACCAGGTGTTGCAGAAACAGAAACTTTTTTATCACCAATTATTTTATTGATGGTAGAACTTTTTCCGACATTTGGATATCCCACCATCCCAACCTTAAGCTGTGGTGCACCTGGCTCATCTCTGACATGCCCTATTTTTTTGAACAATGCCACAAGATCATCCTTATTATTAACGAAAAGGATAGGCTCCTCAGATGTACTGGGGCTACAGACTTCTTCAGGATCTTCTTTGTCGGGATCATTAGCTTCTACCTCCTCTTCGCTTTCATCATCCACATCCATATCTCCATGCTCCTCTGCTATATCAGGTAGTGTATCCAAAGCGGACCTGAATGAAAACTGTTAAAAACTAATTCAGTATTGCTCATACCAGAACACAGCGTTGACATTGTTGGCTACGAAGTATTCATTCCACTTTACTATCTGTTCTTTTTTCAAAAGATCCGACTTATTCACCAACAAAACGTTCTGTTTGGCTGGATCAACTTCTTTAACATAAGCTTCCAGATCAAGAGATCTGAACAACAATGGATTCCTGGCGTCAACAATCTATAAAGAGCACGTGTATAGCTCACATACCATCTGGTTAAATACCTGGACTATAATGTCTGACTTCTCAACAACACGCCATAACTCTCTCCACATGTCAGGATTTCTTTCAAAGGGAGTCAACGCCAATCCGTCAACCTTCAGAAAAAGTTATATAAAACAAGAGAATTTTCATTACCTCTTGCAACTGTGCGAGATCGGTTCTCCATTTCAGAAACACTTCGTTTTCTTGTAATGTCAACTCTTCAGCAGTGCTCCATAATTCTTTCGATGGTCTGCGAGGTATTCTGAGCTTGTGCGCGTGCTGGTCTTGTAGTTCTTTATTGTTTTTGAAGTCCAAACGGCTAGGTACAACAGTAGCGGTAGTGCTGAACAGTTATCATCTCAAGTTGTATTATACATCTACTAGACTTACTAACTTCTCGACTACGCGATATTGCTGTCGCTCTGCGGTGAACTCAGTACCAGCTAATTGTGCTTTAGCCAAAAACTCTTCCAAACTTGTTTCATCAGTTATAGAGTCAATATAATGTTTTTCTTCCTAAGCACTACTGATCAACATAGTTAAAAAATGAAATGCACATACCTTTTCAATGAACGCAGCATTCTCGATCTCTTGTCCACCATACTTTGCGCTTAAATGCTTCCGACGATTTTTTTCCCTGTCGTTCGTAAGAAGAGTGCCCAAGTCTTTATTAAGCCCAGTGGGCTTTTTGTTGGAAGGCCTTCGTTTGGTCATTTCGCCTTCAAACAGATGTATTACACAAAGATTCATTAATGCAAAGTGAAGGAGCCAAATAAGACTTAAAACATCAAACAATTTAAAGAAATACAGCATATGTTAGTTACAAAATAACGTGAAAAAAATTCAGTAAAATCCAAAAATATTTAGGCCTCCTAACAATTCATTGTAAATTAAAGGGCTAAAACTGATAGTATTTCAGCGAGCGTGCCGGGACTCCATTTTTCCAGCCTTTAACTCTTGGCCACTTTGAAACTCGTTGAAAAGTGTTAAACTAATCGTAAATAATAATGCATCAAGCTTACAAATTCACATACTTTTTTTTTAAAGATTAAGATGATTTAAGTGGTATAATTATTTCACTATTCGATTTTATTGTTCTCAAGATTTTTGGTTTAATTGCCATGCTGTCGTTTTTGCCAATAGGATTTGAAAGGATTAATGCTTCAATATCTCCTTGTTCCTTAATTGCTTCATATCCTTTGTTTTCAGATGTTGCGTAATCTTCTGCAACCTGGGTCACTGAATCAAATAGCTATTCGATGGAATTGTCCATGGCACCGAAACAGTTTCCGCCCCTGCTACTTCCCCTTCAAAATGCAGGAAAAACTCAATATGGATACAGTAGAGAAACGCACTGAAACTCGTGGTGGACGCTTGATGTTGATGCGAAGAGTCCTTCGTGAACAGCCATTCTTAGGTTACATAACCAGGCCCGAGAGATCAACAAAAATTTCATTTCCTTTATAAAAGTACAGCGAAATAAAACATTGTACACTATGTAGTTTTATTGTAGAGTTATAAGGGTAACCCTTTTTTTTACAGATTTCCCATCTTTTTTCTCATCCGTAGTCACAGGAGTTTTACATCGAGGGGAGTTAATAGTAGAAGGTGAATCAGTTGAACCTTCTTGCTTTCTTAAATACTTCAACATTCCTCCCAGTTTTGGAGTGGAAGGTGCTGATTTTGGAGTAACTGTAGTGGCCGCAGCACTCGCTGGCCGAAGGGGAGTTAGTGTAGGAGTAGCAACTCGTTCTTCTTCTGAAAAAATACAAAATTATCACAGTTAAAGCTTGATATTTCAACCTTTTTCTTTCTCAACAACGATAGCTTTTTTTTCTTTTTCATTAACTGTTGCTTTCTTCTCCTTTTTAGGACGTTTACGGGTTTGAATAAGCTGTGGAGAAGGTGGGCATTCAAACTCCTTGCTTTTTTTAACACTCTTAATAAGCTTAGTTGACTCTAACTTCACTTAGAATACTCACCAAAGTGCCCCACAGATCGAACTTCAACTTGAAAAAACTACAATAGCCTTCCAATGAAGATACTAATAAGCTTCTTCCGTCAGGACTCCAAACTGCTTCCGACAAGTTATTGTAATGTATGTTCTCAATTACGCCTATCGGGTGAGAATGTTGACTATCGTAAAACATTATGGAATCTTTTGTAAGAGCCAGCCAAATAAGACGATAAGGTAAACTGGAAAGGAACAGATGTTGCTCAATTTCGTAGCAAGATCGACAAACCCTGAGTAATTAGTGGGTGAGTCAATAACAAGATCAAATATTTGTGGGCAAAAGCGAACCAAGAAAGTTGGCTTGGCCGATGGTAAAATTACTGCTGGACGATCTCTGAATATTCAAAATTTTTTAAAATCATAGGTAATGCTATACTTTTCAAGCTCCCAGCGCTTGAACACAAGAGTACCATATATGTCAGTTGCTTCTACCTCTAAATGGGCACCTGCAATTCCAGCCTCATATTAAACACCTGCGCATTAAAACCCACATGGTGCCACAATTAATTGTCCACAAGGAGAGAAAGATACTCCTCTCTGGAAAAACATTAATTGATCATCGTGGAACAACTTATAGTTCTGAAATAAATACGTTAATTTATGCAATGAACTTAGAATAGAAACTTTTTCTTCCAAAAAAATATTCCCGATCTCCATAGCTGGAAGATCCGCGATTCCGAATGTTCTCAGTTTCGTGCCTTTCGTAGCATCCAATAAGTCCATTTTTCGATCTGTCGACATAGTAACAAGATATTTACCGTCAGGGTCCCAGGATATTCCATTAGGAAAATGCCTCAGGTGTGAAACACTCATAGTTCTTTTTCCTGAATTCCACTATTTCTGGGAGAGTTTGTAACGATTACCTGTTAAAGCTTCATGTACAAGACAAGAATCATCATTCGAGACCGATGCAAGGTACTTTCCACAGGGACTCCATGCGATAGCCGTTACGTCACTTTCGTGATTAAGCACCTGAAACAGTGTCACAACCAGGAAGATGGAGTAACCCAAACCTTGAATCGCACCCAATTCTCTTTGTTAGGAGGAAAATCATCGCAGGGTGGGGGAGGTGGCTGATCTGAGACTTGCCAAATAGCAATTCTACCATGACAATCTCCGGACGCCAATAAATTGTCTGAAAAAATGTTTTACGAACCATACACGAACAAAAAATACAATCTGGATTTTGACAGAACTTCACTTGATTAACAGCTGCATTGTGACCAGATAAACTAGCGATGAAGTGTACAGCTAATGGTGCTACGGGTAAATTTACGTTTTCAAACTCATAAGACCATATTCGGACCTAAACGTGGGCATCAAAACACTTCTGACAAACACAACATACTTCATTTTGAACGCTTGAAGTAACAAATTTACATTTTCCTTTCACAATAGTGGGATGTATATCAACTGATAATAATGCTTTCCGATCATGATAAAAAATTTCAGGCATATAATGATCCATTCTCCCTCGAGTTACGGAACAGTGAAACAGAGGTGAGCAACTAAGGACCCGATTTAAAGTTCTCCAAAAACTTATAAAAATCGAAATTCCAGTTTTACCTACAACTAATAATATCGAAAAAAAGTTAGTTCAAATATCAGTCTTTTAGTAATTAACATAAGATAGTATTTACCGAGCGAAGTTTTGAAAAAAAGAGACAAATTTTAATATTATTGAAATTCACATATTCGCGCGGAATTTTCCAAAATACACTGTTCGCAACATTGCGTCCACAAAATTCTTAATTCATTACTGCAAGGTTGAACTTATATAAGAATGTATGTGAATAATGATAATTAGAAAGCTTTTCTTACAGTGATAAAAACTGCTAGGTGACAGGTATCATTCTGATAATTGAAGTAAGGTATCTAATATTCCAACCTATCCTGTTTCACAGAAATCGCTGTTTGTGAAAAGGGCTTAGAACCAAATATTTAATGCAAATGGAAGTTTTTAATTTGTTTTCCATTATCCAGTTTTGTATTGCTTCTTAGTTCACTTCTTTTCACTATATAATTTTAACACCCTCTCGATCCAACGTTTAAGCAATAGTTTTTAAGCAATAAGTTGTGGAAATTCAAACTTGATCAAATAATAAAACTGCTGAGAGATTTCTGCTGAATATACACCAAAAATGAGAAGGAAAAAATGAAGTTCTCGGCTAGTAAAACCGTACCAAATCATTCCGATCGCATTTGTATTCTTTCTGATCTGCTGAATCCTTGATGTGCAAAATTGGCCGTAAACTTCTCCAGATAGAAAATACGGCTCTGTAGTTTATACTCACATAACATTGATAATTTTATTATTTAAAATTGTTAAAGGTTTAATGATTCTTTATTCGGCAAACAAATACGAAAATACGGAGAAATTTAGAAACAATAATTTCTTTCTACTTCACTTTAAACAGAAACTGCTAGCGCCCGTTCTTCAGTGTTTTGAATCCTGTCACCACAATACATCATCAAAAAACTTCGAATACCAATTTTTTGGGAACATCAGAGTTGCATTAGAGGCAATCAGAGCTCCAGGTTTTATTATCCTATACCAGTGAAGGGTATCATCTTCAAATGACGTAATATGAAATGAAATACGATTTAAACACATTGTTTTTATTGTTTTCAATTAAGAGCTACAAGTTGGACCCTAGTCTATCATACAATGTAGTTCAGTCTAACTTCGAAGAAGTAAAAACAACCAAGTTTGATATTTTCAAAACACTGGAAGTTTTGCGAGAAGTTCGGATATTACCGTAAGTATTCAAACCGATAATGTACTAGCGTGTACGTGTAAAAGAGGTCTTAACAGAATGCTAATTAGGACCGAGGAAATACGCGTGTGCGAACAACGTGAAGTTGTTATTTCAGGGAACTCTTCGTGAAGATCGGTTGTGTTGAATAATTCTACCCTAACTGATATTTTAACGTTTGGGCATTTCCGCTAACTGAAATAAAAAAAATGCTCCAAAACATTTATGAGAAGAGGGGATGGGTAGGGGTTACAAAGCTAGCGAAATGCTGTAGCTTTTACTGAAGTGAACTTGGGTATATTGTACGATACAACGCGCTAGAGGCGTTAAATCCTGAAAAAGGGTGAGTGCTTAGCTTTAAGATTGAAGAAAGAGCTGTGTAATTCATGATCTTCCCGATATTCACTTCTCTAAAATGTTGCCGCCACTCACTCATCAGTTTTAGCCCACCCACGTGAGCTTTCTGCTTGTCTTTGCAACTTGTTAAGAATCTGGATATCCAACGGACATATGTTTATATGAATATTTGGACACTGTCATACTTCATATCAGTTATGCTGATGCTAAAAAAAAAGGAAAAAGCTGACAACGACAGGGCGGAGTGAGGGCGTGGCAGTAAGCTAGGCTCTTAATGGTTAGCTGCTTGTGACCGAGAGACACTATAAAAGCCTGAGCTCTAACTAGCGTAGCTTTTCACTATATTCCGGTGTGTGTGGCTCAAGCCAGCAGTGTCGGCACTTTGATCTGAATTAAGACTATCAAACTACAAAAAATGTTGTCCAGATACTTATGCGTTCTCCTTCTCTGCTTTTTGGCTCTCAGTACGGCAAATAGCGAGTCTAACACTTTTGATCGTCAGGACCGTGATTATCGTCCTCTACAGGTAAATGATCTCTCTAGTTATTCAAACCGTTTCATTATTATACTTCCCTGAAAATTTTTGCGTAGACAATCTGTTCGATGAAGCTCTGAATTTCTGTCAGGGTGAAAATTATTTTGACTCTCTATCCATACTATACTTGATACTTTTTTTTTCAAAATATGATGAAAGCTATAACGAACACATCTTCTATTCGAAAACTTCTATCGATTTTGTTGAAGAAATAGCTGAGAAAAAATCTGAAATGGCGTAAGATACTCGAATTAACTATTTCTCACTGCTATTTCCGCAAATGTTTTAGAAATCTCTATTTTTGTTCAAAATTAAGTTTAATCTTCTAAAAATATCTGGAAGTTCGTCTCATTAACAACTTTCCTAGTGTTATTTTTATAAGTTGAGAAGTACCGAAATCATCTTAGGCCTAATGAAAATGATGTTTGGAGTACAAAATCTATGATCTTCAGTGTTTTCCTTTGCAATAGAAAATTTGAAGGATCAGCTTTGTCGATAGACAGTGCCTACAACACCTGTCAAGTGCATCTTACATATTCGTTTAGTTAGTGACTGTCCCAACTCATTCGTATTGTCAGCCATTCATTACTTCATTTCCTCAGCCAAAAAGCTAATGGCATCACAATTCGGGAGAGCAAATGAGTAGGCATGTCTTAACAAATTTCAAATGAGGGTGTTCTAAACAGCTTTTCTTCATTTGTACCTATTAAGAAAGCAATGGAGAAACGTCATTGGCGAGCTAGATGGGAGTCTTCAAGAAATCTTTTTAATCAGCTGAAAGCATTTGTTTCAAAAGACATTTCTGAAGACCTCTCCAGCTTGGAGATTTCTCCTAATTTCCGATTGTTAAGCTACCTAACCCACTTCCTTGAAAGAAAGGAATCGTTATGTAGTTCCAACAATCTTAGTATTGTAAACTATCGAATAAACTTCAGCAAAGGAATGTTTTCGCTAGCTTCTCAAGTTAAAAATCACGAGTGCTGATCCGCTCAATCCCTCTCCTAACTATAACTCAAAACTCACACCTTCCTTCTTTTCAAATATTACCGAAAAAAACAAACCATATCGAACAATATGTGGAGGTGTGGGTGTGGTGTACTTCTGTTTTGTGAATTTTTACGGAGAAGAGTTAACTCCGTTGAACAAGCCTCTCAATAAACTGAGTGTTTAAAACCTATTTGATTGAATTGTAAGATTATTGCAAAATGAAAACATTTGGATAAACGATCTGTATACTAGTTAGTAGCTCATAAACTGCTTCAGGACGATAATGCAATCCACTTTCAATGGTCGTACTTCAAAAACTGAAAACAAGGGTTTCGAATCTCCTAGTTCAGTTTGAAAAAACGAAAACCTAACTTTTATGTCTTTGTGTACTGAGATACGTGAATATTAGTTTTCTGTTTGAGACCTTCTGTGCTTGACTGATTTTACGGTGCTGGAAGCGATTTTCCTGAGTGAAGTGTGGTAAATTTCTGAAATGGACAACAGCTGGTACCCCTCCTGCCGTAGATTGAAATCATTTCGTTTTTCCATTTAGTGCGTCTATCAGTTTCCACAAACGCTAGACTAAGAGTGGCGAAACGAAAGAACAAAGCGAGAGAAAGTGAAATAGAGAGCCTAATGAGAGAATAGAGGCATAAGCATACCAGAAAAATACGCACCTCGCAAAACTCTTCATCGGGATTAGTCTAGGAATCGACGAAAAATTCTACAACATTTTATTACTTCATTTACTCCTACATGATAGATTGAAACAATGCCATGAATTAGTCCGCGTCAACCTCGAGGTCCTCAGAAATAGCTATGAGAAATCTATTTGATTTCATTAGATCTGAAAAATGTTTGAAATAATTTTTTTCCTACTTCTACATTTCACATTTTTATTCTTCTATTTCAGTTCGGCAAGCGAGAGGGATATCGTCCTTTGCAGTTTGGAAAACGTGAATTCAGGCCGCTTCAATTTGGGAAAAGGGACGGGCAACAATCTCGATTCAACGAAGATCTTTACTATATGCCTATGGTCAACTATTGAAACGATGAAGTGATCTGAATTTTATTAACTAGCTAGAATAAAAGCCCAACTTACCAAACATTCTCATTCCACAAAAGCCACACGACATTCCATTTTCTTCATTTCTATAAGTTGTATTTTTGCGCTTTACCTATGCCAGTTAATGTTCACGAACAAACTGATTTGTTAATAGATGAAAGAAGACTTCTGATTGTGGACAACGTCAACTCCCAAGTTGTATTTTCTCAATTTCCAGTCATTTACAGACGATTGTCTTTGTTCATATTCCCCTTCTTCGAGGAAACAATAACATCATCTCCATGTTACTTTTAACTTCTACTCACTGACACACAAAGTACGCAGACTACCTCAGAGTATAAATTGAAATCACACGAACAACAAGTACTATAGATCAAACACTACCGGAACTGGATAGGAACAACCACATGCACGGTAAACTCTATAGGATATATTGTCTGACCTATGGTGTCGGTAACATAACTTTCTGCACCTAAGCTTCAATCGATAACTAATAAAGAAAGTTTTTCTATTTTCAAATTTTCGCGCCTAAATAAATTTAATAAACGCCACGTGGAAAAGCAATTTTTTCGATTTCCAGTTTTCAAACATTTCAAATGCTTTCTCTTCTAACGGTTATTCCCTGACTCTTTTGGTCCCGGTGAATATGAGTGAATTTTCTGACCGAATTATCTCTTGTTATCATTATCTAAGCGGTCAAGTCAATATGTTATTCCTTTCCGTTCTGTCGTCCTTATTTGGCTGTTATGATAATGAATGTTTGTTATGGTCATTCCAAAACTTATGTTCCGTCCCGTATTAATATGTTAAAGGAAAATAGTTATGCTTTAGTCACCATTTAATCATTCGTTCTTGTGTCATACGAGTTCGCTTTCGTTGACAGTTTTTATCAACACCAACATCAACATTAAGCTCTCTACCATTAAGTGAACGAATAAAAAAATCAAATTAGTATGGTCATGTATTTTCTCTACCTTAACAATTTACGTGAAATTGTCCACGTGGAAACTATTTATCTGTCGTTTCATTCAAACGTCATAAGCCAGAGAGAAGAGGTCGTGATAACAAATAGCGCTTTCTCACAAAATCTTAGTAATAGCTTCTGTTTAATGATAGAATTGTTTGCTAATAGATTTTCTTCTTTCTAGATAATTCTCTGAACAATGAATGAGCAATTCATCGAAACTTTTCAAAAAACGTTTGGAAAGAAACCAATTTATCATGTGAGATGTCCAGGTCGGGTTAATATTATCGGTAAGTTGTAAAAATAAAAACAATGGCGCTAAGTAAATCCGAAGATTGAAACATTTGTTCAGGGGAACATATTGATTACAATGATTACTCCGTCTTACCTATGGCAATAAAAGCTTCAACCTTTGTGCTTGTGGCTCCTTCTCAAGAGTCCAGAATTCGAATATACAATGTTGATCCCACCTATCCGTAATTTCATTTTTTCTCATCAGCTATTGATGACTTCTATTTTCTCATTCGAATGACACTATTTACAGCTCATTTGAGTTATCACTGCCAAGTGACTGGAATGGTTGCAATGCCCCAAAATGGCATGATTATGCTTTATGTGGCTGGAAGGCAGTATTAACATTTCTCAAAGAAGAACCTAGAGGGTTCGATTTACTTGTAACAGGTACGTGGATGCAGGTTGCATATGAAATAACGAAAACGTTAGGATCTATCCCATCATCATCGGGCTTATCCAGTAGTTCTTCCTTGGTTTGCTCAGTAGCACTAGCCACTCTATATATTCATACGAAACAAAGTTTCGAGAGAATATCACGGTAATGAACAGGGTGAATAATCCTTGATTTTACGTTCATAATGCAGTTCTAATTTTGCGGATTTATGTGCTCATGCAGAACATCTGATCGGAACTCAAGGAGGGGGAATGGATCAAGCGGCTGAGGTTTCTTGTAAAATTGATAAGATAAATGGTGCCTATCGTACATTCAGATCTTGTCGTTGGAAGGAAGAGCTCTGAAAATTAATTTCAACCCTTTGTCATCTGAACCAGTATTTTTACCATCAGATGCTAAGTTTGTTGTTTTACATAGCGGACAAACTATGAACAAAGTATGTCTGAAAAAGTGTGATGTTTTGATTCTCAAAATTCTCAATTTGTGTATAATCTTCTCGTTTTCTTGTTTACTCCAGGCTGCTTCTTCAGAATTCAATCAGCGTGTCGCGGAATGTCGACTAGCTGGGAAGGTATAAATCTTTTTCGCTTCGTAGTGCATTTTTGTTTTTAAGCTTCTGCTCAAACAGAATGATAAAGAATGGCCAAAAGTAGGCATTGTCAATCTGAGAAAAGTTCAAGAAATGCTGGGCTGCGATTTATCATCAATGATTTCATTAGCTGAAGAACTGCCTGAAGAAATTACTCGTGAAAAACTTGATGAGCTATTAGGAACTGAGGCAGTATTGAGTTGTTTAACATCCAACACAATTCATTGTAAGTAGCTATGTCATTACACGCTCACAGAATCGTTTGCTTTTCTTGAGGGAGAACGTTGTAGAGAACGACGTTATCACCCTTGAACCAAAGGATGTTTTTCTCTCGTTTGAAGCACAGATCGGTTGCATTCTATTCAAATAGTCCATCGTTTGATGTTTTGAAGCAAGTTGTCTTTAAACTAACTTTCCGCTTCTCCCTAAACTCTGAAAACCCATACTTATCTTCAGTCGCTATTTAATGATTTTTGCTTTTAGTGACTAAATTCAAAATACGCGCTCGGGCACGTCATGTCTACTCAGAAGCATCAAGAGTTGCCACTTTTGCAAGTGTCTGTCAAAAAAACGACATTGCACAAATGGGGAAACTAATGACAGAAAGTCATGAAAGTTGTAGGAAGGTAAATCACCTTAACAAAGGTTTTACAACTCAGAAGCTTTAGGACTATGAATGTAGCTGTCCGGCTCTTGACAATGTGGTCCAATCTTGTTTATCAGCTGGTGCTCTAGGTGCAAGACTTACAGGTGCCGGATGGGGCGGGTGTGTAGTAGCACTTGTCAATGGTAGTTCTGACGTTAGCTTGAGTCACCTTAATGTTCTTTTCACGTCATCGCCCTGTGCTGGTATAGATGGTGTAAATATGTCTTAGATATAAAATGCTGCCCAACGGTTTAATACATAGTAGTAAAAACAAACTTTTACGTTGAACTATGAGAGGAAAAGAAACATGAAAATAAACACATTCATAACTTATACTATATATATATATATATAAATATATGTGAATTTAATAAATTATCATCGAATGGAAAAGCATTGCATAGCACAACAGAGAACCCATGTGAGACTACTAGTAATACACGGATTGATTGAAAATACATGCTACGTATAAACAGATAGTTGAAGATGTCAAAGGCCGGCTTTTGAACTTTGAAAATACTCGATCACCTAGTAATAGTTGTGTTTCAAAGCGAAAACAGATTGAAACTCAACAAACACAGATTGTACACAGGAATGGAGAACAGAACTAAACTAAAAAAGAATCACAATTCACTGAACAATAAGACTAAATATTGGGAGCCTCGTTTTTCATTGAACATTTAGAATCGTCCAGTTGTAGCTTGTTGGAATGCCGCACTAGCCGCGGCGGATCCAGCGGCGTTAGCAGCCTGACGAACAGTTCTATCACTCATTACACCATCTGTAAATTCTTGTCGCGCTTTGTCCAGAGAGAATCCGGAGCCTCTGTAATGAATTCGTTAAAACGAAAAAGGATTGTTACAAACCTATAAAGACGATGGACCTTGAACAAAGCGAACACCATCCCAATGAACGCAGTAGTTAAGCAAATAGCAGAAAGCAACATAAGTATTCCCACAAACCAATGGTCTGGAAAACAGAGTCATTCATCTAAGATAGTAGGTTCAATACCGCCAATAGTTTCTAAAGCGTTGACCCAGCCGCATCCATAATTGTTGATTCCCATGGCTTGGAAAAATGTGTAGATGGAGTGGAAGAATAAAACAAAAAAGAAAACCTATATAAATACTTAAAATAGGCTTATTATCAAAAGAAAACCATGAAGTTGAATGAAGAGTCATTGCGGAAAGCTTTATACACGGGCCGGAACCAGAAAAGGAACGAGCAAGGTGAAAACAAAGCCAGCTGAATAATGGCCAAGAACAGAACACCGAGAGATCCTAAAATATAAAATTATATCTGATCCACAATTTGCCGCTGAAACCTTTAGCGGAAACGAAAAAGAATAACGATGCGATGGCATTCATGACAAGGGCCAAAATATACGTTAAGAAAACATAGTAAACAAGAGTCACTGTTTTTTGAAATTGAACAGGAATTTCCACTTCGATGTCCTTAAATTGACTTTTTCTTCAAAGAATGCCTCTGAACTTACTTGGTAAAAGCATGGCTCAATGGGTATAAAGGTAGGAATGGGTGGCCAATTATGAGTTTGAGATGCATTTCTTTGTCCTTAATCTCTCGATAAATTACATATACTCGGAGTAAACCTGCCTGTCTGACCTGCTTGTTGTTGTCGTCGCCCGAGCTCCTCTTCTCTTCTTCGAAGTTCTTGTGCCTTTTTCTCGAGTTCCTCTTGCTTTCGGAAGAGTTCATCGTCCATTGGACGCGTGGCTATTCCTGGACCTGTGTTAGCAGGCTGAAACTTAGAATTATGAAAGGCATAAAAGAAAGACGCATGAGCAATATGAAACGAGAAGCCCATTTCGATTAATCGATATTGAGATGTTGCCCCGATAAATGTCCTAGTAGGCATTCAAACGCAAGAAATTTATACATAAGAAACATTTAGCTCTTCGATCACATCAACAATCAAGGGTAAAATGGCTTAATTGATTAAAAACTTGCACACAATCACGTCCTCACGTCACTCCAAATGCGTAAACTATGAATGTTTTTTTTCAAATTTACAAATCAGAAACTTCGAAAATAGCAAAAAGAAGTCATTATCAGAAACAATGTAACACGAAAAATGCATGCAATATAAAAATCCAATTATTGACTAACCTGTTGAGCAGCAGCAGGCTGAGGCTTATTGGCGAAAGGATTGAAATCTTCAGTGCCATCCAGAGGTCGAGAGGCTGTTGCTTGTTGAACAGAAGGATCCTATAAATATGTTATCAATAGAAATAAAACGGGAACTTGGAATGGAAAAACTCATAGATCGTTTGCATTATGTAAAACACTCACCGCAAAAGGATCAGCAAATGGGTTAGGAGTTGACATTCTTAGCTGAAGTACCGAAGTCTAAAAAGTTCAATAAAATACTTCAAGAAAAGAAACAAAACAAATGAAGTCTTGAAACGAAGAAAATCAATGCTGTATATGACTAACAGTTATTGATAAGTCGTAGGTGTTTCGCAAGTAGATGAAAGTAAAAAAAACTTCCTTCCTTTTCATTTGTTTTTATGTAGTTTTCCACAGAACTTCTCATCTCAGGAGAAAAGAGCTGTTCAATTGTCAAAAGCTCATAAGATTATAAAACAAGAAATATAGTGCAACATGAAAAGGTAAAAGCATTTACATAAGTATGAGCTTGATGACGAGTTCGAGCTGGAAAGTGTTGGCAACGTGCCCAGCACAGTTGATGTCCTACAACGATATGTGGAGTGTGTAATTTCGGCACACTTGAAAAATGCGCCTCTTTTTCTCTAGCGTCTATCGGTTTTCTGCGTCTCACACACTGCTGTGGTTGTTCCCCAGCCCCACCTCTCTTGGATCAGTTAGGCTTGTGCCTGTGTTACGACGAATGTATTCTTCATCCTAGTATCCTAATGATTCTGTTCTCGACGACGTCATGAAGATTGCCTGGGAGTGCTCCAATTGGCCAGGCTCGCATATTGAATCCAATATAACACACCTGGCTTGGATCCCCCAATCAGATGACCATGGTGCGCTTGGAGTAGGATGCGATACAGGTTGTGTTGGCATCACGACAACAGATTTTCATCCCATAGAAGATGATAATTCTCGTTATAATTTCAATCTCCGCGGACATCATTCAGCTATAAGTTTAGTAGCCTGGAATCGTGCAGAGTTCAAACTTGCTTCTTGTGATGCCGCTGGCGTTATCTACGTTTGGTTTCGCAATGACGATAGGTGGTCAGTGGAGCTAGTAAATGATCGAGGCGTAAAGGTTCGTGATTTATGCTGGAGCCCTTGCGGTAGTTCAGCGCTTATTGTATATGAAGACAACTTTGTGCTGATCGGATCGAGTACGGGACAACGCGTATGGAGCAACTCTTATCCCGCGGAAAACCCCGTCTTATCTGGAGCATGGGTTCCAGACTCAAGACATCTTATACTAGGCTTCGCATCCGGAAGTATTAATATTTTAACGGACCAAGGAGCCAATATCACCGAACGTCAAATAGCACGTGAACCTATAATGAAAATGGCTTGTGGAGCTTCTGCTAACTCTGGATGGACTTTAGCAATGCTAAGCGCAAACAACATCATTTATTTAATGAGGAGTTTCGAGCAAGTTCAACCTGACGAATATGATGCTGGATGTACCGTTCATCACATGCAATGGAATCACGAAGGCACATTACTTGCATTTATAAATTCCCGAAGAGAACTTGTAATGCTTGATAGATTAGCTCGATGTGTTCATCGTGAACACATTGGAGTATGCGGAGGAGCATTAACTGCATTAACCTGGGCTCATGGTGGACGAGCTATTATTGTAGCTGCCGGCGGACATCTCGGAATCGGAAGAGTTTACGGCGGAGTTCCATCCTTGTTCAACTTGGTTACCTACGATGTGTGGCGTTATATGGGTTCAAGTGGACGAAAAGCAGATTCACTTCCAGTGCCACACAAAGAGCAAAGAGCTTTGAAAAGTTTGGATCATCATATCATTAGGGTTAGTGTTTTTCTTCTCATTTGTGGAAGTTCGAACCAAGTATCGCCATAGTTGCGTGGGTTACATGCTTTTGCTATCAATATATATATATCCATGAGAAACCTCTTGTGTTAGGAGAGTAATTGTTCAAGATAACGAATGTGTTTCGCTGTTTCCTTATCTTTCCAGAATATCTCATCTTCAAATTTGAAAAAAAATTGAGAACAACACTAGTAACTCTGCTAGTGAAAATATAATGTTTCCTATTTCAGTGTCGAATACCTCGAAATGACGAACTATGTCAGTTTGTATGCTCGGTTAGCGATGCTCGATCTTATTGTACTATCCGGCCCATGTCAAAAGGTAGTCATAGCTATGTGTTATGTATGGAACACCTTGGAGGCCTCGTACCTATTCTTATCGGTTTTGTTTTTCAAATGTTTTATCTTGTAATTTACTTTTGTCATTTAAAGGGCGTCAAGTCAATCGATTCCTGCCTCAATTTCACATTTCCGTTTATCCTTCTAATGCAGGGCAGGAGTTTATGCCGCCGGCAGGCTCTTCAGCACAAGTTGGTAAGTAATGTTTTTCTATTGTTTTTGCTCTCGTTATAACCTACGCTCACATGTAAGCCATAATTAGCTGGCCAAAATCATTATGTAAGGTTTTGAATATTGGCAGTATGTGGTCTGCTGTCTATATATAGAGAGGAAAGAATAGTCCTAGGACCGGTTTTCCTGGCTGTGTGTAGTTGCTTGTGTGCGTGTCCTGGACCGACTCTTTCTCCCTGTCTTCTTTCTCTTCTTTTTTTCCTCTTTCTCTCTCTATACCTCTCGTTTTGGACAGAACGGTTGCATTCCTTCGCTTTTCTTTTTATCTTTTCGACTCACTCTGTTCGCTGTTGCCAGTGCTGGTGTATGTGTGAGCGCTATTTCTTGGTTAGCGAAGTACTGATGATGAAAGGGGGCATAAATTGACAGTTTTTTTTTCGTATCCGATTGCTTGTAGAGTAATAAAACGAGAGTGAGAATCTATTATTGAGTGCGCTAGATGATAATCATGATGACCGAATTCGATTCATTTACTCTCTTACGACGGTTCGATTTCACTTGTCGTTTTCATTCATTCTTATTACGACAATAGATTGATTGTGATAGAAATGGTTATCATTGAAATATGAAAATAAGCTAATCATTCATCGCTATTGAAAAAGGTATTCCTGATGATCCCGTCAATCACACCTGTAAATTCTCATTGACCATAATTTAAGTCCCTGTTGTGTCATTGCTCTTGAGATGCCGACATTGTGGCTCCTACGATACTTTAATCTACGGTTCTTTATGAAGCTCGTCTCATCGCGAGGACCATCCTGTGAGAGCGCTTGCTGCATTATCATTTGTTTATAAGTTATGAACTATACTGAGAACTGCAAACGGGAACTGTTGTTTGATGGACGTTTGTTCCGCCTTGTGTGTCGCCAGTACCATTTTTGTCATAATCATCAGTAACATCACTGACGTTAGCAGAAACACCGTCAGTGTCATCATCGTTTTACCGTCCTCGCCATCCTCGTCATCACGCGCTATCATTATATGTTTGTATGCTACCGTTACAAAGATTGAGCTGATCATAACCAGTTCTTACCATTTTTGTATGTACTACTAGTACGAAGTCAAAATTTTGCTAGGCTCCGGTACGTTAGATGTGTTTACTAAATTCGTGAAAACAACTTTTTTTTTCCATAAATTGAAGTGGTTCAACTAGCTCAAGTTGAAGTTTTTATGTCAAGTTCAGTTGGCCTTTTAAAATTACAAAGGAGGATTTGGCACAATCAACAACTAAAAATGTGAGGGTCCGAGTGTGCGACGTGTCATAACTTTTCCTCCTTATAAGCCGTGATATATTGAGTGAGCTTATGAGATAAATTATGTATCTTTCCTCTCATTCTCTCAGCCTGTCGTGAAGAGCAACAATCGATAATTCTATCTTACGCAATCCGGTCTTGTTACCGGCTAAGAAACAAGCTCAAATATTTGTTGTATTGGTCAGCAAAAGCTACATGCAATGTTCGCTCGTTAAGCGAAAGTCCCTTCGCAGTGAGATTATTTTGAACTCCAAGCAGTTTTTCCTTTTTTTGGTCTTTGTATGAAGTATTATTGACTGTTTCCTGTTTGTTTTGAAATTGTTTAACTCGTCTAGTTCCAGAAGATGTCTCTATTCTCCCGCGTACATCCAATGGACGTAATTCGCTTTGGAGGCGGAGTAAAAGACATTTACGGGCACTCATGTCGCGGTGAGTTGTTATGAATGACGCATCTAATTACATAATTATGTCGCGTTGAAAAGCTGGAATTGAGGCTTTCACAATATTGTTGCCTTTTTTGCATCAGGCTTTTCTTCAACCTGGAGTCGCAGCATAAGATGCAGCGAGGATTGGAAGAGTTAATCTTCCTCTGTTCGCTTTAAAAAGACGCACTGAAACATAACATGCCTACAGATTACGAGGAAGAGGGGCTGATCAATCGTGATAATGATTTTTTTCAGCCATGTACGTCCTCAAAGATCCGATCTACGACTGGCACAAGTGTCTTCAAATGTGTGGTGTACCAAATTTAATATAACTTCTATGTGCCCCAAGCTGTTACCCGAATTTCTTGGCCAGGTTTGTTTTTTTTCCGTTTATCCATCCGTGGGATTACGAGCGCGTCAATATTCTGTAGACAATCCTCTAGCCTATGTCGTAAATCCCATATTAAAAATGATGTTTGGGTAACACTCAAACAACCTCAGACATCTTTGAAATTCCGAGTTGAAAATCATCCTGAAGAATATATTTTTCATAATTAGAAGACTTCTGCTTCCCTGTTCTCTCGTGATTTAAATTTTCAACAAAATCTTGGAAGAAGGAAATGTTATTTTCATGAGAACACTTATTTCAGGTTGTTTACAAGACTTCTGTGCTCCACCTGCAGCCTCGGCAAATGACAATCGATTTGGCTCTGTTGTCTCCATTAGGAAATAACCAATCGAGGCAGCCTTCACTCTGTCCCTCACCGTCATCGAGGTGCGAATAGAAAATCAATTCACGTTGTTTCTTTCTATCAAGCTTAACTCAATGCATTCGCGTGCAAATTTTTCCTGTTTGTGTCGCATACTATGGTTAATTTTATGAAAAGCTGAAGCTCCATTTTTGATTTCTCGTATGAAAGTAGGGCAATCTTCACATGGGAAAGTAAATACTGTGAAAAGTATACGCTGAGATAGAAAGAAATGAAATCCCATAAAAAAATATCTCCGCAATATAACCTTATTGTGTTGAGAATAAACTCACAAATGCAATTACCGCGCGCTGAAGCTGCGGATATGCGTTTGTTGCCTGGAGCCCATCTTGTAAAGTAGATTATTTCAGCGAAGATGAATACGACGATATGAGTTGTTTACTGAAAAACACTACTTTGAAAGAGCCTGATGGATTAACAAAAGAAGAACGTGCATTCTTTGAGAAAGTGAGTAATTGGATTAAGTTGCTTCATAATAAGCACATCTGCGGTGTTTTCGTCAGCCTTCAGCTAATTTCGGAAACTTTCAGGTGGTGAGTGAATGTACCGTGCTGAGAGCTGCTATGAGTGCTGGCAACGGTGATTTAACTCCATCCGGACAAGGAACATCTCAGGTAATTAGGTTTTCTTCTATTCGCTCGAAAACGTGATGAATCGGAAGTAGTTGGAACGGGAACAACCGCTCGATCGCGCTTAGTAGTTATAAATAGTTTTCTATTTATGGCAAAAAGTACTTGATGATACAAATAAAAAAATATTAATTCAGACTATAGTAGTAAAAATGACTGATTCTTAATTTAAGGTTGCTGCTTCTAAAGAGTCTCCTCTGAAGGCCGAGTCCTTGCAAGGAGAATCTGATCTTACTATGAGTACTACAAGTACTTGGCACGATGAAATTGAATCATTAGATTTTATAGGTATTAATCAGTAAATGTTTCATATTTATATCTCATTTAGATGGTGCTGATGACAGAGATCCACTACTTCCTTCTACATCTGGTTGTCATTCTATGCCAGCGAAAGCTTCTTGTTCGCCTGCTAAAACTGACTCGTCTGCTGCTCCCAGTGTTCTTGAAGTACACCAAGGGGATAGATTCAGAGCGGAATTGCAGTCTGATTTAGACAGATTAGTACGTATTGCTGGTCAACTGAGTCATAGACATGGGTTTAATGCGGTTAGTAATTCATTATTCTCAACTTGTCGCAACAAGCAAGTTTAGAAAAGAGATCGAGCTTCAATCACTAAGATGCGCTCACAGATGAAGGAGTTATTGAGGAAGGTTAATGAAATTGAGAAAAAGGTTTGTGGTACAAAATAATAGATGTGCTGATCAGATCGTTTAGGTTGCGAACGATGATGTTCGGGCCGAAGTTCGGCAACTAATGAGAACTCTAAAAGAGATCAAGAGTGCCTTAGGCGAAGGGCGATCGGTAACTCCAAGGTATAACCGAATAATCACTATGCATAATAAAACACCGTTTTGGAATGAACATAATCAAGTGTATCAGGTAAGCAATGGGTTCATCTATTCGTAAACTCAATCGTACATTATTTTAGCTAGATTTTGGTGGGCGGGTAACCCAAGAATCTGCGAAAAACTTCCAGGTATGAGGGCTCATCTGAATACATGCAGTATATGTGTGCATCATTTTCATTCTCGTTATTTCAGGTTGAAGTGGACGGTAAGCAAGTCTTGCAATTCGGTAGAATTGAAGGAGGAGCTTACACATTGGATTTCCGACGCCCATTATCAGCTAGTCAAGCCTTTTCAATAGCATTAGCTAGCATTACGCAGAGGTTGAAGTAGCGAGCATGTGCCTGAATTCTGTTTCTTTCCAAAAGTCTTTGCACAATATTGAAATGAGAAATTATTTCCTTCATATGGGAACAATGCTAACTTAAAATTATATTCTCATAACATTAACATTCCATCGCCTTTGCCATCCATCAATAAGTGTGCGTGGTTGTGACCAAAACGTGTCCAGTTTAGTAATAATAATGCTTCGGCCTCTGTAAATTCGTTTTAATCAAAATCCCAAGGAGACCCTATTGTGACATTAGTATCCTGTTCTAAGAGCGTTAACGACTCTTTAAGGAACTCTAACCTTTACGAATTCGCAGTTTCACGCATAATTCGAACCGAACTATACATAATCATGAAACATTGTCCGTCTTTTTGGTATATATTGTATATAATACATTTTTTGTTCTCTTCAACTTTTTTCTTAACATACCCCCCTCCATTTGCTTAAGGGTATAACAACCACGATTCGCTTCCTACACAAGTTCATCAAACAGAATTGTGATAATTATTTAGTGTTTGAGAATAAATACACGATGTTTTCTTCAAAACAAATATTTCTGTAAAAACTGAAACGCCCTAATAGGCAAGTATGCTATCAGATTCTTTGCTCCATGATTGCTGTTGATATGGCCTCATAAATGTTGTGATACTGTTCCGCAGACTGAACCATTCGTCCACGTTGGTCTCTCATAGCGAACACCTCGCTGAGAATTCATAAATAATAAGAAACCGAAATCCTTAACTTCTTACTTGAATACGTCTATTCCTCTTTCATGACGAGCACGCTCGAGTAGACGCCAAGTGGCTATGAAAACACCAGTCCTACCCACGCCAGCGCTGAAAAATCACAAGCTAGGATTTTGAAAATATCTTGATTAATGAGTAATTTAAAATCAAAAACTGATGCTTTAGATAACTTGTTCAAACGAACTAGCAAACTCTGACATACTATTTCTATCATATTGCTGATGGATTGACAATAGAATCACAATGCGATTTTGAGCGATTCTGACATTACTAATCACGTGATAGAACGATTGCAGTAGATCATATCCGACATTTCAAGAAAGAACCTCTCTTTCGACTTGAGGACTGTTCCGATGTTAAATATAAATACTGACTCTCTACATTTTTGAGTAAACATGATTGGAGTTTTGTTGAAAACAAATGAATGTTTCGAAAGCAACATTCTCTCAGTTTACAGAGTAGTAATTCCAAAAACAACATACCTGCAGTGTACGATTATTGGTCCGTTGAATCGTTTATTCATGATACGCTCAATAAAATCTAGAAGTCTCGTTGGGTTGGCAGCTTCACTATCACGCCAATCCCGAAAATGAAATTGGCTGACCTAAAAAAAAGAAATTGTTCGGTTCACTCCGTTTTTGAGATGAACCTGACGAGATTCATCATTGCAGACAACATCCAATTCTCTCTGATCACAAATTGGATCTACTGATTCGGCCATTAGACTCACTCGGCAAGATCCATAAACTTCTGAAAGGCCAAGTTCTACCGGCCAATAACGACTGCATTTAGTCTGAATGTATCCTTTTAACATTGGATGGAAAGTAGAATAAAACCTGCATGTTTTCCACACAATCGGTCAGCATGATGACACAAGAGCCGTTCGTTTCCCAAACCATACGCCAAAAATCATCTACAGTATCTTCTTTACGTCTTCCCAGTTCATCTGTAGACATAGGCCCTTGAGTTGCAATAAATTGGTGGTATTGACGATAACCCTGAACATACACTTTACAAAATTCCGATGAAGCGACTCTAAGATTTGAAAATTAGAACTGTTTCGTAGGATTAGTAGGAGTACAAAGGATATCCATATTTGGTACAATACCGCCATCTTCAGGCAGATACATGTATATACATCAGTACTCAGATTCTAAACATTTTTGAAAAGCTTACATCTATGAAACTAGCATTTATGTAACTTCCATCACTCAGTATAACACGATTATCGTCATCTGTAATGATGATATTAAAAGAGAAAACTAATCTAAAGCCTAACAAGGTAAAATATCTCCAAAACGATTTTTCTCGCGAAATTGTTCAGCAATTTGACAGCTTTTCACGCGTACAGCATCACGACTCTCAAGTATCTGTAATGTGACATACTGAAACTCTTTATGACCTCGAATAAGCTCTGAACAAAACTTCAAATTTGGGAGAAAAGTTTCTGACTCAAAGCGTCGAGTTTTTCACGCGATAATTCCTTTAAACCAAATGCATTACAACGAAACTAAAAATAGCTTTCAGAGCCACAAATTCTCTCAGTCTTCTTCTCTGAAGGAAAAACACGCCGCTTACTCTAGTTGCATAAGCGGATTCGAAAATAAACGAACAGTTCAAACATGTGGAAGACAAACAGGCAGATAAAAAACACAGAAAAACTGTTTTGCTTTCACACTAAACGGTTGTTTTCAAATTGGATGCCATTTTGTGTATTCACACACTGTTCCCATCTCGTCTTAAGGCTAAGATAAGCGGGTGTTCTTAAGGTCAAGAATTTCAGAGACTATGAAACGCTATATGTTATTAGTTTCAAGCTAACCTGGAATTCATCACGCAAAACTGTGTAACGGTAATCATCGAAAACAGCCCGGAATGATGAAATCGAATGTCTTCTGCAAACTGATGAATATAGCTGGTCCAATTTTTCGTTATTTTTCGTAGAAAGAATATGAACCTACGTATTAATTGCATTAGCTTTCTCAGCTACTGTCCCCGTACTGGTTAAACACAACTCCACAGGCCTGAAAAAGTTCGCTCTACATAGTCTGTTCTTCCCTCACAACTTCATCGGAACTTAATCCAAGGTTTCTACAAGAAAATAATGAAAACCTAGATGGGCGTTTGAGCGATTTTGAGCTGCTTCTGCTTGACAGCGTCTCATTTGTGACCACAATCTTCGTGTTCTTGCCAAATGAATTTTTTTTGACATCTGAAAGACGAGAATTTCCAATAAAGCCCCGTAGTTTGATGAATATTTCTTTCTCCAAGGTATAACCCAGAAGTTTTGAAAACTCATTAAAAAGAAGATAGGTTTTCCTTTTTAAAATTAAATATTTTTACTCTCTTAGGCATTTCTCTAATATTTGCTGTTCGGTTCGGTTTTTTCACAAACAAAACTCATTAGATTCCCATGATAAGCCTTCAGGAGAGAGTTTTCTCACAAAAAAAAGTTTGTAGAAAGAAGTCAATCCAATGAAATCTTAGCACCTAGTTTTTAGAAATGTAAAAATCAACCCTTACCCGTTGTAGATAATAGATCAGGATGCTCCTCGTTCACAACAAGCGATGTGAAGTTTGGTTTTCCCGAATTGAAAGTTGTTGACAGAGGTTGATCCAAATATAACTCTCGGGTGATTTTTCTCTGAACTTCAGCAGCGTGTTTCTCTTCTTCCTGAAAGTGTTAAACAGTCGAAGATTCTAATTATTGGAATTTTTTAGAGCTAGGAGTGTTCCCTTCGTTCAAAGTCCAGAAAAAACGTGACAGACCTGAATCCGACGTCTGAAGGTAATGGAAGCCAATAAAATTGCAACAATAGTGATAAAGAGCAAAAGGCAACCGATAGAGATCAGAATTATATCTGCCGCTGTAAAAAAAAGTTTATTAAATATATAGACATCATGAGGGTTTAAAAAAAACAGCTCTAATTGTACATTCGAATTAGAGCGCATTTTCTACTGAATTTTGTAGCAAAGGAGTTTCTTACCGTCTAGCATACTTGGCTAATTAATGAAATCTTGATGCGGAATATCCAAAAAATACAATAGAAAGTAGAGCGTATGTAAGACTGAGAATTGTTTGTAGAACCTTCTTCAAGCTGTTCGCTAATCACCGTGTTTCCACACTATCAGATGACAAAGAGAAAATAAACGAACAAACAAACATCCACAAAAGGTAGCAGGTATTTCCCTGCCGGTGTTTGAAGCTGCAAAGAAGAAACTTTTGCATTGGTGTTATAGGTAATCATGTACATTTTTATTTTAATTTTCAAAAGTGTAAGAGTGAGATGTAGAAAAGAGGATGAAAGTTGGACGTAGGTGCAGTAATACGATTCAGAATCTTGTTAAAGATATTAGAGAGCTGCAGCTATAAATATTGAAACCATCACAAAAAGTATAAAAATCAGGTTATGGAGAATTCATATAATTTTACATCGAAAACGACAAAAGACGGATTATTCTGGTGATCTCATCGTTTCTGGCGCAGTGAATAGCATGTTTTCTGTTCTCCATTTTCAGTGGGAGGTGATTAAATGGCTAAAGTTTCGTATTGAATTGATGAGATGAGGTTCAACTTGATTTTCAAGTTCTTCACAGAATGTAGAAAATTATATGAGGTATAAATGACTTATTAGTAAACAGAAGCCCCAGCAAGACTGAATGGTAGATTCAGATAGCTTTGAATACGAATAGATGGAAATAGAAAGCGAACAAATGGCAGATGGGAGACGTTTAATGCAAAAAATAAAGAAAAAAATTATAATTTCCTGATTCATGGCAGTTACTTCCGTCGACTGCTACTGGATGAAGATCAAACGTTAAAGTAGAAGAATAAATGAGACGGCAAAATGGCTCCAGTGAATGTTTGATAGGTAAACGATTACGAATCGGACTAATGTCTTCTTAGCGAAATTAAAATAACAAACATTGCACCAATTTTTATAGTTTAAACTTAATCTTTCAGATGTTTGTACTGAATCTTCGCTAGGAAGGTAAGCTCTCATCTTTTCCTCTCTTGCTCCAAACAGTTTCTTCTAGCAATAAGAACTCGGCGGAAAAGTGATAAACAAGCGTTCTTCGTCCAAGATATTTTCAGTGCTATCCACTTGCAACCGGTCATATTAACCTTCACTATTACTCGTATTCTTCCCACTCAAAGAAGAGCCCAATATTTCTATGATGCAGTTATTATATTTCAATGCGAAGTCAAGTTTTAAGGATTTAGAGCAAGAAACAAAGTGGTATTATAATAACATTTTATAAACAGGAAAACAAACAAGTAACATTCCCGTTTACTTCTTGCTGGTGGTCTTCTTAGCCTCAGATTCAGATGAGCGAGAAGCAGAGGATCTTCTACGTGCAACCTTCTCGTCTTTTCTCTCCTAAACCGACAAAGATAAGCTACCAAAACTCAAGTTACCATACCTTGGCGTACTTGGTCATAAGCTTGTGATAAGCAGCAGCTTCCTCACGGGACTTCACACGTTGAGCCTTCTTCTTGTTCAAAAGCTTCTTACGTCTGTTGATAACAGTGGGAGTGATGAGTCTTTGAATCTTGGGTCCAATAACCTTAACAGCTCCTGAAAATATAATCTTGCTACGAGCTCAAACTCTATAACTGATTTTAAGCAGATACGTAAGATACTACTATAGCTCCAGTTAATACTTTAGTATTTAGTACCCTAGGCTAAGTATAGCCCAGAGTAACTGTAAGAAGCAACAACTTGACGAAAATACTACTACTAACCTGACTTCAATGTTTTTTCATGGGTAATGACGTACTTAGTGACATCATCTTCCTTGGTGAGGTTGAAGAGCTTTCTGATCTTAGAGGCTCTCTTAGGTCCAAGTCTGCGAGGAAGAACGGTATCAGTAAGACCTTCGATGTCTTGATCTCCTATGAAAGGATAAAAATGTTTCAGAAAATTTCAACAAACACTTACCCTTCTTGACAACGACAAGATTAAGAGCAGAGATGTTAGCATCAACGATGCATCCTCTAACGGACTTTCTCTTACGCTCTCCGGTCTTGCGGGGACGGTAGCAAGATTGTCCCTTCTTGAGAAGTAAACGAACACGTCCGTTGGTGAGAACTCCTTGTTTCATGGGGAAACCTTGCTTATCGTTACCACCTCCGATACGAACAACATATCCCTGAACAGACAATTAGCCTTGCAGAACATGGAATATTACCTTCCACTCGTCTCCAAGAGAGTCGATCTCAACTTCTTGAGCCATACGTTTCTCATAGAAGATGCGATATTTCTTCTCATCTTCGAAGTCAACTGTCTTTTGCTGGCCAGTCGCCGGATAGGCGAAGTTAAGCTTCATCTTTCAGATGTAGCTGTTTACCTAAATTTTCAAATCTTTACCATAACAATCGAAGAAAACAGAAAATTAGTGATATATAGAATAAGTTTGACATTATAGAACTAAGATTTCAAAAAAGTAACACAACATTTCTATTGAACAATTCAAATATGCTGAAAAACTACAAGAAATTTAGGCCAGTAACGAAAATCGCAACGAACAGATATTAAAGGCCTTCGTACACTCTCCATCTCATGAAGGTCGTGGTGAGACCAAAAAGCTACCGTACACATTGCCAGATAATTCAACGGCTACAACCGATGCCGTCGATGCTGTCCGCGCTTTAACTGTGTAATAATCAAAGTTCAGCATAATTTCTATGCTAATTATATATATATTTTTGACATTACTAATGTTTTTGTTCATATTTTTGATTTGCATGTTTGTATAATTGTCCGATCAGGTGTTGCGAAAGGGAGGATATCACGTGAACTTACAATGATTCGAACACTTGCATAGGTAGCCTAAGTGTTATATTAACTTTTACGTTCTAAATGTATAGTTCAAATGCAAAATTTGAAGGTGTAGCGGTTGATTAAACTTATAGTAGTGCGTTCATGAAGCCCAATCAATAAGTTTTATAGTGGAGGATGCAAACTTTGGGATTCCACTTGCTATGAATGGGCATTAGGCTGGTTTAGATTCATAAAATTCGTATTCCTTTTATGAATGTGAAAATGGCGAACTCTTCTGTTAGGCTTTGCGTAAGCAATTGGCACTTGCTTCGAAGTTTGAATGTGTTTGTGGTGTTGGGCTTCTCAGCTAGTTCTAGCAGTGTGTGTTATACCGTTTAGCCTCTGTCGACGTGGCGCAGAGGACTAGCAATTTTCGGCAAAGTTTGAAACGAAAAACATTCACCATATTGTCTTTCTTACGACTCCGTTTGACATAGTTTTCTGGTGCGTGTATCAAGGACTGAAGTCGGTTTTTCCTTGCCGAAATCGACTATTCTCCTCTGCCTTTCCCTATTTTCGGTTGTTTAAAGAAGCCTTACATTAGCGTCAGACCAGATTACTTTGTGTGCTTCTTTTCTTTTGTTCCATTATGCTAGTTTGTTTTGTGCAATTTTTGATTTGGCTCTCAGAAATCTGTCAGTGATTGGAGAAGACAATAAGCCAGATGGTCATTTTCGATCTGGCAGTAGTGTTCACGTGCTGTTTTAGGTAAATCATATGAAAACGAATAAAAATAACATCGAATCGATGAACTTCCGCTCAAACTAAATTGTGGTGGCTCTATCGTATTTTCCTCATCATAAACCCACCATTTCTGTGATCTTAATGAATCTCAGTTATAAATACTCTTCCAATAGTTTGTATTCTTTGTTCTCTCTTTATGCTGATCTCTCAATTCATTACGAACCTATTGTTTTCAACTTCTCATTTCTATTTTCTATAGATATCACGTAGATTGCAAGTGCATTTCTTCCTCTTGTTTCAAGGCCTGAAGAAAACCTTTCTAAATTGCACCACAGAATAGGAAAGTTGTGGTCTCTGCGTGAGGTCTTGCCAAGCGCTGTGTTAGTTTCATCATCAACTGCTTCAGGTTTTCAAACCACGTAGGGATAAGAATTCTCTTCATTATTGCTTTAAATCTTCAAACTTCAATCTTTCAATAGAGGTATAGCCTCCTAATTTACCCAAAAAAGGTTTGCGATCGTTAATTGTGCTACTATGTTGGGCCAAACCAATGAATTTTAGCTGGCGCTGAAAGTTGAACGCAAGTCCAAATCTCTGCGATTGTGTAATCCAGAAGAAAAACCGCGAGGTCTAAGGAATTTGGGAAACACCTGCTTTATGAATGCTGTTGTGCAAGCACTTGGGTATCTTAAATACATATGAATATCTGAGAAAATTATTTGATACAGAGTAGCTGATGTGTTCCGAGATTATTTGACCCAGTTGCCCATCCTTGAGCCAGATGATGATATCATTGAAGACTGTATATTGCCAATGATTTCGCCTCGGTACAATACGAGACGTGCAGCGTTGAGTTTTAGCAGTGGCTATGGTGAAGATTTGAAGCATTCATCAAGGTGATCCTGATAGTAATGAGCGAGAGAAACTGTTGACTTTTCAGCCTTTTAGCAGAGGAGTTTCGTAAAGTTCTAATTTCTCTCTCTGATGTGAAAAGTTTCCATGCTTATTCTCCTGACGATTTCTTTCAAGCAGTTTGGAAGATCTCCCCCCGTTTCCGGTGAGCCGAACTCGTTATTGAAATAGAGAGGATCGATTTTGTGTGCACTTGGGCACTCGTAGTATTTCAACTTTTTATGCTAATTAGCTGTCTTCGAAATCGACTACATTTTAACGCAAGCTGAAGAGCGGACCGGTTTTTTAGTTTAAAATTTTATTGTTCTGAAAATTAGACAGGGAGAAATGAGTAGTTTGAAACTCAATTTCATTTTTTCAGTGGGTTCCAACAGCAGGACGCTCACGAGTTTCTACGATGTGCTCTAGACAGATTGCATTGCGAGTTAAAGCGCTGTCGAATTCCGGAATCAGTGGACAAATGGCTTGAATATGCTTGTGGAGATGGCCAACAATTCCCGTCTACAACTGCTGTTAGTAGAATTTTCGAGGGATCGCTCCAAAGTCAAGTAGTGTGTCAAACGTGCCTTACGGCCAGCAATAAGCATGAATCATTCATGGGTACGTATTACAGCTTTCGATTTTATAAAGTTTTTCCTGTCAAATTTTTGAAAGTTTGCTGATTAGAAACCATTAAGACCTCTCTCTCGACATTTATGACACCATTGGAGGGACAGGAAATATCCATTTATCCGATTGCATTAGAAGGTTCTTCGATAAAGAAGAGCTTGGCCAATGTGAGCAATATATGTGTGGCTATTGCATGGACAAGAGACCTTCGACAAAACAGTTAATGGTCAAAATTTTGCCTACCGTGAGTTTTCCTGCCATATTTCAAAATTAGACTACAAACTATAGGTTTTGTGTATACATCTCAAGCGTTTTCGTTGGACCCAATATAACAAAGGAAAAGTGGATAACATGGTCATTTTTCCGATGTCTGGATTGGATATATCTCCGTTCATGGCTGTATAGGGTTCACAACAAAACTAAATTCAACAGGTTTTTTTCAGGCTTCTACACGGAATGGCCATACTAGCCCCGTGACATTTGATCTGACATCAGTTGTCGTACATCATGGCAGCGGGTTAGTCAGGACAAGAATTTGTCCAAGTAGTCCCAGGGACAAGCATTTACAACAATGTTTCAGACCTACCTCAGGACACTACACATCATTTGGCCGACGTAACAGTCGATGGTATCACTTCAACGATTCAGTTGTTAAGCCATGCCCTGAGCAAACTGTTCTTCAACAGAAAGCTTATCTACTTTTCTACACGCGCTCTCCTACTTCTGGAGTCCTATGAGTGAAGTGAATACATATTGATTATGCGCATAAAACGGACTTCTGTCTGTTGGGATTCGCGCATGCTCAAACAAATTCCCTCACATCCCATTTTTTCTTCTTTAGACATTTCCTCTTTATTGTCTATCCTACCTCTATCCTGAGATTATATTTTTATATTTGCTCAGATATAACTTTTTTTTCTATGTTTTACGAGTTGTACTTTTTGTAATCAAACAAAAACTTCTAGTCATGTTAATACTTTGTGATCGCTATTATTTCCGGGTTAGCTTCATGCATGATTTTCTCTTCCTTTTCTCAATAATGTTCTTCCCTATTTAGGATTTGCTTTGACTGGTTGGTAGCTCATGTTTTTTGTTTTGGAATCTCATTTTATATTTCATCGATCTTATAACTCTGTCTCTGCCTACTATCTACTTCAGGTCTCACTTATTCGTTTACTGAGCTTACTTTTTGTAGTTTTTTTTAATATTTGTGTTTGTGTCGTTCATAATTGATAATATCATTTTTTTAATGTTTTCCGCTGATCTTACTCTGTTGGTTCTCGCCAGCTTGATTATCGAAGTTTTTGTTGTTAGCAGAGTTCGTATCGATTGCCAGCTGCTCTCACCCACCGTGTCCTGATGTAATTTGAAGTTGCAGGTGATGGAAAGCACGGGATAGGATGACTTTTAAGTGGCCATGGCAATACGATTTTCCACCCTTCTTTACGTAAGGATCGTGCTTTCTAGTGTTTATGTTGAAATATCTTTGCAGACTCCAGCAAACTTTAGTTACCAGAGAGAAACAGCTTGAAGCTTGGTCTCAACTAGTGACCGATTACGCTCAATACAACAAGATACACACTTTAGACGTTCAGGACGCTTCAAATACTGAGCTGTTCTGCAATCAAAAACTTAACAGTTAGTTTTGTTCTCAAGTTTACGAAGTTAAATGAATTGCTCAGGACGGTTGAATCGTGAAGGTGTACGCGCAGTTTTCGACTATCTCGAACATAAGAGTACGTTTGCCTGAAGTTTTACAGATCATAGTAGTATGAACAGAACACGTTGAGTGGCTTGATCCGGGGAAAACTCGCTGCCATATTTATTGGAAGCGACCAGACGAGTGGGCATCTCTCATCTACGATTGGGCAGTTAGCAACGGTTTCTTAAATACTCCGTGTACTCTTTACGAGATTGCTCACGGTGACGATACAGCTAACGAATGTATGCTGCTCAGATTTTCGATCAATTTCATAACTAACCGTTTTCTTCAGCCTTCTACGGATTGGAAAAGGAAGTGCTAATCAAAGCTCTCCGCGTACTCGAGTCTCAACGAAGAGCTCAGCTTATCAACCTAGGTTCCGATTCCGAAGGAGTCAAATTCTTGCAATAAAATATAAGTAAGCGTAACCTGACTTGAATGTCTAGGCTTCACTTTTTTTCAGAATGGCCTCTTCTATCTTGGTCCCAATCAAAAGTGATAGTGGGGATAGTTCCAATTGTTCAATTTATGATCCAAGTACTTACAAACCTAAAGGGAGAGTGATTAACGAATTTTCAGATGCACCTTCCTTCTTGAAAAATCATGACCTAATCAAAGAAGGCGATACAGTTATTATATACGTTAGTTATGGTCATACACATACCATCATTGTCAAACGAGGCATCACTCTAGCCATGAAATATGGGGCACTCCGACATGAGTTCATAATCGATAAGCCGTAAGTCGTGAATTTTTTTCTCGTAATAAAGCTTGCATAATCAGTTGGGGATCTAAAATAACTGCTACAGCAGGTTATGTCTATGCCTTACGTCCTACACCAGATCTTTGGACTAGATCGCTCCCAAGAAGAACTCAGATTCTTTATACTCCTGATTGCTCACTCATTCTACAACTGCTGGATGCCCGACCAGGAATGGTATAAGCTCACTCATGTACGAGAAACTGTCGTTTTTTAGGTCATCTGTGAATCTGGCACCGGGAGTGGCAGTTTGAGTCATGGCATTGCTTTAGCGATTGCTCCCAACGGTCACTTGTACACCCATGATATCGAAGAAAGTCGTACGAAAAAAATTGAGCAGGAGTTCCAAGTGAGTCAAAAAAATTCACGACTCAATCACCATCCAAATCCATAGGAACATGGACTGTCTGACATTACAACTGCTGTGGTTCAAAACGTTTGTACGGAGGGTTTTTTCGTTCAAAATGCTTGTGATGGTGTTTTCCTCGATGTTCCGGCTCCTTGGGAAGCTATTCCTCATGCAGCAAATGCACTCTCTAAAAGTCGCGGTGGACGTCTGGTGTCTTTCAGCCCTTGCATTGAACAGGTGACTATCTAATTAGGCTTTATAAAACTCGAGTATTCAGGTGCAAAGAGCATGTGAGGTAATGCGTTCACTGGGGTTCGTCCTGATCGAAACTGTAGAGTGCGTACCAACAACACTGAAAGTAGTCAAATGTGAAAACCTAACTCTAGAAGAGTTCGATAAAAGCGGTGATTTCCTCACATCTGGCAATCGAGCACCTCTCAATCGCAAAAGGCGTGTAGAAGGGTAATTTTAAATGGGGCATATCATCTCATTAATTAATATATGTTTCAGGGATTTGGTTGTTATGCCTGCTCAAGAAGAGGAACCAGCTAAAGACAACCTTGGTAGATCCGCCATAGCTTATCCACAGAACCAGCCTACACATACTGGTTATCTGACTCATGCTACCATGTTACCATATAATTAAAAAAAGGGTGCTTACGTAGTTTGTATACCTCGTTGATATTTGATTGCATCCAAGTGTTGACCATGACAATGGTTGGATTCAAACATGCAGAAGGTAACATTGGTAGACAAGAATCATATTGTAACTGTTTTTATTCCCTGAACTGTTTTGTTCTCATTTCCTTAACGCAGTATTTTGTTTAGAACTCTTAATTTAGGCACATATTAATGTTCACTTTGTTGTCGCGCAATTTCGTCATTAGTTCTGTAGCTCAATAATTCCTGTGCCCATATTCGTTCAGATTTTCTATAGCTCCCAATAGTTTTGTGTTAGATTTCGGTTGCAGCTTTTCTTGTCTTTGATTATGCTATTTACTCGTTTGTTTATCAATTTATCGATAAATCAATAGTTTTCTCTTATTCTTCCTGTTAAAGCGTCTTCAATCCGCTGAAACGAGTACCGATAGCTGCACGCGAAAGCTGTATTAGGACGGGGTTTTCTGGATAAAACGTGTGATTTCAGGTTCTTCCGGTTCACAGTCTGTACAGTATTTCTTCACAATCCAAATCTGAACTGGTCTCCAGATTTAGCTCGTTTAACAGACGTCCACGCGCTACGTGAAGGCGAATCAGCTGTTGTACGCAGAATTAGAGAAAGAGAGTGTTAAGTACATGTGGTGTGACAGACACGCAGACACATCGATCGCGTCGCATTGTAGTGTGTGCGGGGTGTGCAGCAGTCGACCGCGACTTGCTATTTCCCCTGTTTTACCATTTTTGTTTTGCTTTTTTGTGTCTTGAGTTTTTGTTTCTTTACTAAGTATTATTCGTCTATCCTTATTCATCTAATCACTAGTTTTTTTCATTTTCCTCATCTTACTTTTGCCAACGTAGACTAACGAGCGGTTGCGCGGCTGTGAAGCGAAGGCGTTGCGGCGCAGAACCGCTTTCAAAATTGCTTTGCTGTTTCTCCTTGTTCCATTTTTCGTTGTTACTAGGCTTTACTGTTCTCCGATTTCGTAGGTTCGGAAAATCGTGTATTAATCGAATGATAGGAGGCGTACTGATATACCGTCATGGTCAACCTTTACTTTAGTGCCCTTGGGTGTTGTGTGAAGTGTATCATATACATTTTACAACCTAGTACGGTAGTAAGCTTTCCATTGCGTTCATTAATTACCTAAGTAACTATCTACTATCCTTGGAAGTTGTGATTTGTTTATCGTTTTAGTATTTTTGAACTGCTCAAGTTAGCATATAGTCCTTTTCGAGCCGACTTATAGCCAGTTTCCTTAGACCAGTTCATATCTTGTATTTTTGTATCTCCAAGCTTTATCCGTTTTCCTAGAACATCCGATTTTTTTTATTGAAGATCGGATTGTATTAGTCAATACATATGGTAGAGAGGCTTGCTCTTGTTGAATTTTACGTAGTTGATATCTCGATATAAATTCAATTGCCTGTTTTTAGTGTTGGGCTTTGAAAGAAATATGACTGATTGATTGGCTTTGTGATTGATTGGTCTTTCTTCACCATGTGTGTATGTGAGAGTCTTGTGTATTTTGCAGTGAACGCCCCATATCCATCGAATGCTCTTCTCCCCATCTATTTTCTCTTCACCTCGCTCTATGGATCAATTGGGTCCCTGGCCCGTTTATTTGCTCAACATGCTTGTTTTATATTACTGTAGGATGCGAGCCGTTTACTGAATGGAGTTTTACTCTTAATATCTGTAATCACAGTTGTTCATTTTCTCAACAGCTGAACTGTTTATGGGCTAAGAAACAACTAATCAACCATTTTGTACAGAACTTGATTAAACTAGATGATCGACCTGGATTATTTGTATTCATATATATATATATATATATATGTATCTTATGTATATATATATACATATTATTAT